CAATAGCATATTTAATTCCCGTGAGTTGTGTGCCAACTTCTGCTACATTGAAGTACATTTCCAGGAACAGAAGAACCTCTAAATGACAAAAACAACATCCTGGTGGTGCTCCGTTCACTTGCGTATGCAAATATGTGACATTCGAGGCGGTTTGAGTTGAGCTTGGCAAGTTCTGGAGTGGCAGGCAAACAATTGCTGGGCAGGCTCATTTACCAGAGTCCGATTACAGTGGCCAAATAAACACTTACAAGTTTTCTTTTGCATTCGCGTGGAGAGATAAATATCCAAGCCACTGCAAAAAGAAAATTCAAATTACTTTAAAAAAAAGAACATTTTTTATACATTCAAACTAGAACTAGAGGTTGATTGACTTAAGAACTCCATTTATATAGCAATTGATTCCATTTTTTCCACTGTGCAAGTGGTTGCATCTCGTGTGGCCGATCAACTGGCAGCGGAAATGATGACGCAATGAAATGGATGGCAAGAGATTGGACCGGACTGGTTGCTGGCGGGGTAGATAAGGCAGTAATAGGACACAGAGACGCCCATCTGCGATGGTTGTCTGTCAAGAGTACGAACGAACGCCCCTTAGCTGTGAGATGTGTGATGAAAGTGGAGGAAGTGGAAGTGGAAATGGAAATCGAATCGGGCGTCTGGCGGAAGTTGGCTACATTGGTGCCGCAGCACACACATTTCAATTGCTAAACGCCTGTTTCGAGTTTCAGCCTGCCTAGGGCTTCTCCATCTTCCCATCGCCAAGCTGCCATCCTTTAAAGCCATTCGCAGCACGCGCGGGCTAAAACTCACATACATATTGCTCACAATCACATTATATCGCACACCATCGCATTTCTGATTGCACAATTACTAACAATGGCACTCGGCGAGTGCCTAAGTGTAGCTGTGTGTGTGTATGTATGTGTCTCTAATATTTTGTTTGTTAATTGTATGGGCGTGCCTTTTGCGCCACGCCTACAACCCTACCTCAACCCAGCTGTTGCCTCCCCTTTTTAGTCGCTGTCTGCAGAGCAACAATTCCGCAGTCGCACACACACGGCGGTTAAGTTACATAAGCTCAAGAGGGAAAATTGCCAGCAGGTCGGGTGTATTGGTTGGAGAGCTAGGTCAGGACGTTTGAATAAGTTTCTTTCTTTGTGTTTTTTGCCAGCAAGGCGTATACGTAATATAATTGCGATATACATACTATTATGTTATTCTGTTATTATTCTAAAAATCTTATAAACTATTATTAAATTATAGTATTGCAATTGATTTATAGCAACTTAATTTCAGCGAATTTCTATCCCGTTAGTCTTAAGTTAGGTTGCTGCAAACAGGTGCCATCATGGCGTATACGTAATGTAAATCAGATATTCATGTCTCTATGTTATTATAACTTGTAGAGGTTTGTTCGTTATGAATTTGCAGTGGCAGTTATATTTTTTATATTAAATAATAGTAATAATAACACACCATAATTAATCTTAAAGAACCAGTAAAGGGTATAAATAAATCCACACACTGTACGCCCCAAACCAATTCGCTTTGATGTCGTCTAGTAAGCTGAGTGTTGTTAAGTGCTCGTGCGTATACTTAATATTGTTGCTTGGAGAACGCATAAAAGTATGCTATACAACGCGAATTGATCTAATTTGCCAGACCGAATGCTTCGATGGGAATAGAACGTGCCCCTGCCCGGGACACACCACAACTGTCACCTGCCAGCCGCCAAGGCGATGCTACACAAAACTAATTAAATGCTCCGCCGTAATTTATGTGTGCTCGGCCCCGGCAGACAAATGAGGGCGTAACCGGCGAGGGGCCATAAATTTAAATTATGCCCGGCCAAAAGTGAATACGTTATAAATAAGGCCAAGTGCGTGCAAAAATTGTTGCCTACAGTTGCCTACAAATTCTACGAATAGCGCAGCGACGGGCTCAGATGCACGGCACACACGTTGCCCGAATTTTCTTATTTCATTTTATTTTTCCTTTTCGGCCTGACCAGGATGTCCTTGTAATGAAATTCCAAGAACTCCGTCTCTGACCTGGGGCTCTGGGGCAAGAATGCCAAGGCTGGAATTTGAATTCGCCCCATCCCAAACAATTCTACGTTATATATATATGGTATAAAAATATATACTATACACCTAATCTGTCGTACCCAAATCATGTGGCTGATTGGCTGGTGGCTGGGCAAGGAGAAGGATGTCCGCCAGACATTCAGTAATTGGCCTGAGTCTTGTATAACTACGGCCTCATGTGGTGTCCTTTTAATGATTTCCTTTCGGTTTCATGCAGCTTATGCAAGATGGATTATGTCCTAGCCCCTTTTTTTCTCATCTCCCCGGGGTAAGGACCCAAAACTGTTGCTCAACTGTGCTGTGCGGGAATTTGCGTAATCCAAGCAAAGGTTCCTCTGGATTGAGTGTGAATTGAAGGAGTAACCACTTTCTGTGGAATGTGCCGGGAATCTGCACTCGTTTTATTGACTGCCCAGCTCAAATTGACTCTGCTAATCCGGCAAACAGCCTCCGAGACCGAGAACGACTCCAAGTTCAAGTCCGAGTTTCTGTCTGAGAGCGGCGAAACAATTTCGCAAGCTGATTAACTCCGAATGCCAGTGCCATTTCCATACGCCAAATGTAATTTTGTGCGCCAACTTTGAGCAAATATTATCGCATAGCTGGGCGAGGGAGGGTCGGACCACTAGACGTATACTTAATAATGTTTACTAAAGCAATCAGGCGCACACGGGAACAATTGCCGGTTCGGGGTGGGTTGGGCGATCGAGGCTGGGCTGTATTGGAATTTCAACCATTCAGCCTTTTTCTGACAGGGACGAGATTTCTGATTTGTGATTGGAATTTGAGCGCCTGACACTTGGCAAATGCGCCAACAATTCGGGTAATAACCTTAAAGGTCGGCGATAAATTCAAATGCTGTTGCCGGGGACTACTACTACGCCTTCGACTTAATACAATTTAAAAGCCCTCATAGTCCCGTCCCCGATATGCCTGAGTGGTTCTGCTTTTGCGTTGCAAAAACGCTGGGAAAACTGCCGGCTCTGCCGCAAGAAATTCGAGTGGGAACTGGGGACGGGACGGCACAAAAGCAAACAATTTATGGTTCATATGAGTTTGGAATTGGTGTTCAGCATACAAATGCCGAGCAAATAGAATTTGTGTGTTTATCCTGTCCCTCCTCGACCCTACATCCCATCTGAATCTGGCCTCGGATGTGGATTCGCATGAGGATACTTGGTAGTGGAAGCGAGTGTGTGTGTTGTAATAGGAAAATTCTATGCATAGCCATGTGCGGCTGCATATTTGCCCAGTTCAAGTGGTAAAAGGTTAAATATTTGATAGCTAGTACGGCCGAGAAATTGTAATTGCCATAAATGCTAATTATCTGATAAATAGTTGAATAAAACTCCATTAAACAGATAATGAAAGGTATTATGAACTTATGGGGAAATTAATAGAAAGGAATATTCATATAAAACATATACTTATCTCCTGCAAGCGCCAAAGTACAAGTTTTTCCCACCCAATGTAGGCCAAATTTGTACTTGGCCATATGGAAACTTGATGCAAATGTGCTTAATTGAGAATGTAATTGGAACTCCCCTTTATTGACATATGATGTGTGGACTCACTTGACATCTCACCTGTCCAGGGGTTGATTGCATTGGCCAGGTGTCAATACTCGTCCTTGACACATTGCGAACTCTCTGAACTGAACCGGGCCCCCCAAGCCCACATGTGTGGTTGGACATGCGTTTGTGTGTGTTTTGGCTTTTGGCTCAGGCATTTTCCACATTTTCACGCTGTTATAACTCACCTGTTGACTGCCGTCTCGCTCTTCCCCCGAAACCTGAAGCCCGCTCGCACTCATGCAGGTGATTTAAGTAGGTCATAGCTGCACATACACAGTCCAGTTTTGCACCATATGCTCCGTTCAGGTTAACCTGTAGCTCGGGGATTAAGGACTGACACCAGCACTAACAGTTCAGGACTCATTGAAGCCGCATCGCAATTTAAAATCGGTCGGGTATTGAATTTAATCAAAGTTTAATGAAAAATAAAAGGTTTTTTACAAATATTTGCTTTATAAAACTAAAAGATTTACAAAGATTTAATCGGTTTATATATTTATATTTAAAGTTTATTAAATAAGCTCGAGATAGCTATTTCTTTTAGTTAAAACGCCTTAGTAAATGTTTTAAAATAATAGAAAGCCCATTTAATTCAACTTCAACTTAGCAGCAACTTCGATTACCAATTATAAAACGCGCAGTTACCTAATTACTCACTCTGATCTATAGATTTTTGCACTGCCTAGAACCGCAGGCTCAATTAACCCAAAAGTTGATGTTCCTCTGCAATGGACTCCATGGCGAACTAAATTCGAATGGCTGAATCGACTTTGGCTAACACACACACAATGCGAGAGTAATGCGGAGCTAGTCCGGGGAGGTCCTTTGTGCTGTGCTGTGAGCCGACTAATGGCATCCATTAGACACAAAAGGCCAAATTGCCTGGCCCGAATCCGATGGCATCGATACAGCGATACACACACTGGCATTGCATTTATTTTTCGATGGACTTTTCGTACAATCTATTGTCACGTGTCCGTCCGAATGTGGCTGAATGTAGTCTATTGTGTAATTGATTTCGATTCCTGTGGCCAAAGGCCCCGCAGCTATTTGCATGACTGGCGCATTTTGCCCGCTTTTATTTTATTTTGTGGGCAGAGATGTGTGTGTTTGTGGGTTACAGAACGTGAGCGAGGAAATCGGGATTCCGTATTCCATATTCCGTAGTCAGAGTAGTCCGTTGTCAGGCTTTGATATGCACGGCATGCACAGCGCCGGGCCCCATAAACACATAAACTCTGGCATAAAACAAAAAGGCTCGTCTCGCATGCGGAACACATATGTACATATTTAACCCACAACCTGACCAATCCAATCCGATTTCGCTTGGCCCTTACAGATTGATTCCGCCAAATCACGTCGATTAAGCCATGAACGCACTCGATATGAATAAACAATTTCTGAGCGTCTCGCAGGACCATCAGCATCAGCTCCAGACCTCGGCGGCGGACCAGCGAAGTCGCTCAAGGTGAGGAAATGACTGGAGACTTGTCTTTCTCGTACTTAGGTTTATCTTTCACCCCGCAGATCGGAGCGTGCCTCGAGTCTGGCTCTGCCCCTCAACTCCCTGCTGGACTTCTATGACAAGCAGCAGGAGCAGTGCAAATCAGTCACCCTGCTGCCGCTGCCCAGCAACAACAGTAGCACCAGCAGCAGCAACAGCAGCATCGTGCGGCGCCACTCATCCCACTACTATCCCATGCTCGAGGACAAGCAGAAGCCGTCGCAGTTGCCACCGGCAGCCACCGAAATGCTTGTAAGTAGAAAAGTCATTTGAAAGGGTTGAATGGGGTATGTAGCTTATTAACGACAAGGCAGCTGTGCCCTATGGAACTTATAGATTGCTCTATTTAGTGCAGGTATTTAATTATGAAAAATTTATGAAAAATTAAACAAATATTTAAAGTGGTACTTATGAAATTAATCTTAGTTTTTCTTAATATTTATCGCCTTTATTAAAAAGCTATAAAAATAAGGAAAGGATTTAAGAAAATGTTACCCCATAAATAGTGCATGTATCTGGTGAACTTAACTGCTAACGCCCATGATTTTTTAAAACAACTATGTATTATAAAATAATATTATAATGAGAAACCGTAAAAAGTGCAGCGCGCCACTAACGTTTCTTGACGGCACAAATATTAATATTATTCTTTATGGCAAAAAAGCCAGCAGCTGACAGGCTTCCCATCGTTGGATTTATTGGGCTGACACCGGGAGACACCAGAGTTTCCAGCGGTGGAAGCTGGAGAAGATTAGCTTCGTGGGTGGGATTTCCGTAAAGTTTTGCTGGCTTTGCATGATTCGGAAGATCGATGCAGGGGCGGCCACGCCCACAAATCCTCAGGCACAGACAAACACAGAGTTATTTTTCGTATTTTGCCTTTCCGGGGCCGCGTCAGGTTTTTATGCACTCGGCTTAGCGATGGCTTAGTCCTTGGACCTTCCCGCCGCCATCCTTGCCACCTGCCAGGAGCTTATACAACAGAATATTGCTGCCGGATAATATGGCCACAGTGGGCAATCGGAGATGTAAACAATCCATAGGGGCATCCTTTAACTTTATTTCAAAGCCTTTGAAATTTCTAAGAAATCTTTGCAATGTTCCTTTTTCACGTTTAAAGCATATTTATGGTATTTCTTTGGTTATTACCAATATTTTTCAAGACCTTTCTGAGTCTTTCCTCTTAAATTTAAAATTTCAAGTTCACTTTATGAACATTTCACTATAACTACTGTATTTGCCAAACCATATATGCCGAGATGCCTTCCCTCCATCCTCAATATCTCTCTTCGCTTATTCCGCCGGCAGGTAAACATGACGGAGCAGAAATATGGCAAGTCAGCGCCCCTGGGGGCAGGAACCGGGAACCGGCAGCAGTTTCCGCAGCAGCAACAGCAACAGCAGTTGGTGCGGGTGGACACGCCAGTCACGCCACCGCCGCCCATTCCGCGGCGCCTGCTGCGAGGCAAGTCTGCCTGGCAGACGAGTAGTCCCAATCCCAGTGTCGGCCAGGAGGGTATTAATGCCCACGGCATTGGCACGGTGTTTGTTTATCCGCAGCCAACAAACGTGACCACCGAGGCAGCGGCTCTCGGATCAGTAGCGGGACAGGGAGCAGCTGGTCTGCAATCAGCATTGCTTGTTGACATTGCCTCACGTCCGGCGCACGGCTATGCGGATGCCGATGGCATTTCCGATGACGACCGCATGAGTCTGGAGAACTCCGTATTCGACGAGTCGCTAACCTCTACGCCGGTCAAGGTTGCCGGCTACCATGCCGGCCGCTACTCCGCCATGGGCCACATGGCCAAGCGAGCGCAGCGTTCCTCAAGCAGCACGGTGGATTCGGCCTACGGCTCCTCGCTGGGCGGGCACAGTGAGCGCTTTGCCAGCAGCTCGACGAGCGTGGACTTCCGCAGCCGCTTCTCCTCGGTGGACACGCAATCCTCGCTGGACGAGAAGCCCCTCTCCAGCTCGATTGACTCCCCCTTGGCCAGGGACTCTAGGGATGCCTACCGGGAGCGATCGGCAGTTAACGATGCCATGCACAAGCTGAACAATAACAACAATAGCCTGGGATTGGCCTTGTATCCGGCCAGCAACAACAACAACAGCAGCAGCAGCATCAGTGGATCAGTGGATGGAGGCAAGCTGCCGGTGGTTCCAGCCAGGAAACAGCCACCGCCACCCGCCAAGTGCAGTTCCAACAGCAACAATTCGGTGGGTGAAAGCCAATCGCAGTCGCAGTCCTCCTCCAAGGAGACCGGTAGTGTCTCGGCCTCAGCCTCCACTTCGTCCGCCGCCTCGGCAGGATCCAGCACCATCTCCAGCGGCACCATGTCCTCCATGTCGGGGCCACCGCCGATAGTGCCCTCTGCCGATGCCGCCAATCCCAAACGTCCAGGGCCACCAGAGCCACCGATGCGGCAGGCCAATGTATTTGATCCCATGGAGATGAGTGCGCGGGGTCATCCGCCGCCTCCGTTAACTGTAAGGAACAAACTGGGCCGCACCAAGCCGCCGCCCATAGCCTATCCCCGAATGCAGCAGCGCCAGGATTCCACTCTGTCCAGCGACAGCTACTCGATCAGCTCCAGTCCGGGCTACAACTCCAAGCTGATGGAGGCGCCGCTATTGGGCTCCACGTCGCAGGTGGGACGCAAGCCGAATGCACCCGGCTCAGCCCAGAGGCAGACGCCACTGATGGACTTGGCACCAACGCGTTTCCTGAACGGTGGTGGCAAGCAGGCGCCCGCTGTGCCGCCGCCAAGGGGTAGGATCAACTTTCGCCAGGATTCGACCATCTCCAGCGACAGCTTCAGCCAGTCCTCTAGTCCGGGCTACAATCCCAAGCTCATGGAGGCACCGCTGCTGCCATCCCTATCCGCCAAGCGACTATGCAGCGGTAAGTGTCAATCCCAGTTGCATCCTATCCATCTCAAGTGATTCCCTTACCTCTTTCTCTTAGCGCCAGCTCCGATTGTCTGCCGGCAGCATGAGCCCATTGAGGAACTGGAGCCACCGCAGACCATTTCGCCGCTGCACAAGGCTGGTGGTCCGCCCAGCAGCCTACAAACTATCGTCCGCTTTCAGAATGGAGCCCCGCACACCATGTCCTTGCAGCATCAGGTAAGGGAGAGTACTCCTTGAGGGTTAGAAACTCACTCACCCGATCCTAATTCCATTGCAGATCATAAACCGACGCAAGAGCTCCAATCCGTACATCACCAACGGCCGTCTGAAGTTCCGCCTGTTCCAGATCCTGATCAACGCCTTCGCCCTGCTGGCCATAGCCGGTGGCCTGGCTGCCTACTTTAATGCCTATCCGACGATCAAGTTTGTGAACAAGACCATCATCAACACCATCCATGTGGAGGACACCACCAGTTTTGGCAAAAACCCGGCTCCTGGAACTTGTCTGCCCATCATTGTGCGTTTTTGTCAGGGTCCCCAGATTCCGTACAACTACACCGTGTTCCCGAACTACATAGGACACTTTGGCCAGCTGGAGACGCAAACGGTGAGTAGTCTCATCTTCCCATCCTAGCAGTGGCTGACTTGCATCGATTTCAGGATCTGGATACCTACGAGGCCTTGGTGGATGTGAGATGCTACGAGCTGGTCTCCCTGTTCCTGTGCACACTGTTTGTGCCCAAGTGCGGTCAGAGTGGGTAGGTCTACAGGATAATGGTTAAGATAAAGCCCCTATTGATATTCCTGTCATTTCACAGAGCAACCGTGCCGCCCTGTAAGACCCTCTGCACGGAGACCATGCGCCGCTGTGGCTTCTTCTTCGATGTTTTTGGTCTTAGCCTGCCCGAGTACCTCAACTGCAAGCTATTCAAGGACTTTCCCAGCTCGGAGGACTGCGTGGGCCTGGAGGAAGTGCGCGACGTCATGATAGCCGCCTCGAATCCCAAATGCGAGGGCTTCCAGTGCGACCAGAACCGCTGCCTGCCGCAGGAGTACGTGTGTGATGGCCACCTTGATTGCATGGACCAGGCGGACGAGGCCAGCTGCGAGCGTTGCGGTCCGGATGAGATCTACTGCGGCGATAGCCAGTGCATTGGAACCAAGCACATTTGCGATGGCATCATTGACTGTCCCTACGGCCAGGACGAACGGAATTGCTGTAAGTGAATCCTATATATCCTTTTTATATATATTTCAAAATTTGTATTTCCCTGATAGTGAGACTAAGTGAACGGAATGGCGATGTGGGCACCGGGGTCCTGGAGGTCTACCGTATCGGTCAACGTCAGTGGATGCCCGCCTGCGTCAAGAACTGGGATCGGGCTGTGTCCCCCAGCGCCGTGTGCTCCATACTGGGCTACTCCGCCGTAAATGCCACCAGTGTGCTGACACAGCGCACCCACCGACCGCTGCTGGCCTCGGTGAATGTGTCCACTGATATTTGGAAGATGTATGCCAAAAGGCGCTCCACCCTGATGCAGGAGTTTGCCAACTGCAAGAAGACAGAGGACTATCCCATGGCCGAGCTTACCTGCTCCAATTACGGTGAGAAATTTCATTCAAGGAAAGTTCCATCTTCAATGGTAATTATTTTAGAATGCGGTCGCGTAAAGCGAGGCAGGCACAAGCCCTCTAGACGCATCATTGGCGGCACCCAGGCCAATCCTGGCAACTGGCCCTTCTTGGCTGCTATTCTAGGCGGTCCAGAGAAGGTTTTCTACTGCGCCGGTGTCCTTATATCGGATCAATGGGTGCTCACAGCATCCCATTGCGTTGGCAAGTGAGTTTTGATCAGGAAATTTGAAATCCTTTTGGAAACTAACTTCTATATTTCCTTGGCAGCTATACGGTCATAGATCTGGAGGACTGGACAATTCAGCTGGGCGTAACGCGTCGCAACTCTTTTACTTATACGGGTCAGAAAGTTAAGGTCAAGGCTGTCATTCCCCATCCACAGTACAACATGGCCATTGCCCACGACAACGACATAGCCCTGTTCCAGGTGAGACCAAAAGAGTGTCTTCTCTTTCATGTATTTCTTAATGATTTTTTCCTCATTTGCAGCTGGCGACGCGTGTGGCCTTTCACGAGCACTTGCTGCCTGTGTGTCTGCCGCCTCCAAATGTCAGGAGTCTGCATCCCGGCACTCTGTGCACGGTCATCGGCTGGGGAAAGCGGGAGGACAAGGATCGTGAGTATATCTTTGGGGTTTAAGGTATTTGTCATAGTGTGATTCGTTTTCCTTGTAACCCCCAACAGCCAAGTCCACGTACGAGTTTATTGTAAACGAGGTGCAGGTGCCCATCATCACGCGCAACCAGTGCGACGAGTGGCTGGACAACCTGACCGTATCGGAGGGCATGGTCTGCGCGGGCTTCGATGACGGAGGCAAGGATGCCTGTCAGGTGAGCTTACAAATTAAAAACAATAATAATAAATACTAATCCTTGCTAATCCCAGGGCGACTCGGGTGGTCCACTGCTGTGTCCGTATCCGGGGGAGAAGGATCGCTGGTTCGTCGGAGGCATCGTGTCCTGGGGCATTATGTGTGCGCATCCGCGACTGCCCGGCGTATATGCCAACGTGGTGCAGTACGTGCCCTGGATACAGGAGCAGATAGCGAAGCATACCCGTCCCATAAACGAGGATCGGGTGAACAAGTATGACCTGCATCCTGGGGGACCCGACATGCTGTCCAAAATAGCAACGGATCCGATGCGAGTGGGTAAACCCTATTACTACTCACACAAGAACTAGGCCTGACCACGGGCAGGAGGAGAGACAACTAGCATATCCATGGAACGAATGCACAAAACAAACACACACAGAACCGATGGATCCTGTAGGATACATACATATATTTTGCTACTGAACTTAGGGTATTAGCGTCATGCCGCTAACACCGATTTTGGGCAACATAATCATGTGTCAATTTGCCGAATTTATTTGTCAATTTTTTTACAAAGAGATTTCTATGAACCCTGAGAGACCCGAGGAAGACCCCTCAAGGGTACCCCCAAATGTCAATACAAATTGCACACGCGATTTACATATATATTTACACCTAAATCGAAGATAACCGATATATACCCGATATGTAACCCATTGGTAATTGTGTCTAAATAACCCCCAACCCAAAACCGAAACCGAAACCCTGGACAATAATTCCATTTCGTAGATGAATTTTGTGTTGAGATAAAACCTAGTTTAAGCTAAGAGAAATTCCCATAAAGAAAGAGTGTTTGCCGAAAAAAGAAATCAAAAATTATCAAAGAGATAAATAGTAGAATCACAGCTAATTGAGTGTTGACAAATACTAAACAGGAAATAATCAAGTAAATCGTAGGAAATACATAACTATAACTATAACTAAACTAATGAGAAACAAAAACAAAAAAACAAGGAAAAATTGCTGATCTTGGCATTTGATGGACGTAGTAGCAGTGTTAGCTCTTCTCCAACTATGACAAAAGGAATCTATCCAACAGAACTAGGTGCAGTTGACAATAACGGGAAGTGCACAATATGCTATTAAAGGCATTTTAGCGAATAAGTAATTAAAATACTAACTACAATGCGTGGGTTTCAGCTTTAAAGAACACTAAAACGAAGAGGGAGGAGTGCGAATACAGAAGGAGCATTAGGAAGAGGCATACTTATATACATACATATAGCATACGATGAGAACTACAGAAGGTATACATGCTTCGATAGTGAATCAATGTCAATGTAACTTAATATTTAGAACTATTTACACGCCAACGCAAGCCCCAAGCCCCCTCCCCCCCACTTAGACTGGAAGTTATAGTTACCCTTGATTTCGATACCCTCTCATCCGCAATGCGATCCCCCATCCCTTGGAGCCTAGGAGCAAATTCAAAAGGGAATCGCAGGGTTATATATGTAAAATACGCGTAACTAAAGACTCAAAATTGGTTGTTTCAGCACAAAGAACACACTCACTCACACATTATATTGAGCTTCGCAACGTGTATAGCTTTGATATTGTTTTCAAACTGGGATTCTGGGACTCCAGTAGGGCGGGGACTCGACTTTTATCATTTTTGTAGCTAAAACCTGTTGAGATGCTTTAGACACGAGATTGCAAATGTATAACCGATCAGTACTAAATATAGTTGGACATATTATGCCTACCTACATATATACATAAATATATGCATGTTTTGTACAATCAGTTTACAAGTGGAAAATGAAAATGAAAAAGATAATGATAAAGAACAAGTATTAGTCTTAAACGGGGGACAAATGAAGCGCATATTACACAAGGCACACGATGTTTTGGGCGAAGAAGAGGGACATGAACACAAATCAATATGTAACTGAAATATATATACAAGAAATATACATATAACGGGATACATACATATATTCTATATATATATTGTAGCGCTAGCTTGTAAGCAGATGTGATGGTGTCTAAATTTATACATGCATATATATTACCGAAGCCACAGGAAGGAAAGCCTAGTTTATACGCCAGGACAATACCCAATTATATAGAGATGATATATACCCATATCAGAGACATTATGCTTACTTCGATATTGTGCATTGCATGTAAAGGCCAGATCTTGTCTTGAGCAACTCGGTTAGATATATCCTTTTTGTTCTGAACTCTGGCGAAGAATCCTTAGCTGTTGCCTTGGACAGTGCGCCACTCTTACTCCCTTTTACTTTTCATCCCTTGAGTTTTCTGGGGCTCATGCTCCTCCTTGTGCATTTACGATCACACACGGATCACGGCGAGCTATTTTTATACACCCTAGCTCCAGGCTACTATCAAAACGCTTAGCTTTATGTACATTTAGTCTAAAGATCGAACACAACCCATATATATATATATTATATACCATATATTATACATGTATATTGTAGATGTAAAATGCTTAGCATTGGCGAGTGGAGTGAGTGAAATAATTTACACGTGGCATGGATAGCAGAATAGATAATTACTAGGTACTAAACCGCATACGCATACAATCAGCACGCCACATCCTAGTTGAATTGCAGCAGGATTAGGATTCGATTCAGTTCCGCATGCTCCATGTGCTTGGGAGGACACCACATATGTACACACGATCAAAACCAAACTACGGCGCAACCAAAGAAACCCAGAAATTGTAGCGAAACGTTATGTGTAAATGTAGCAAATCCAAAAAAACAAAAAATAACTAAAAACGCTGATTAACTAGTTGAATTTTCATTTGTGTGTCGCTACCACAAATGATGTATCCGAAATACAAAACGTATATGTAAATGTTTAAAGATGACTACTCGATGAGGAAGCACTTGTTATTAATGCACAGACGGGGAACTTTGTGAAGAATTTACAAGATATCAGATCAAACCTTTGACAATAAAAGACAAACTGAATTTTTTCCAGTGAGCTGGACAAGCGCATCGGGCATTGAGAATTTATGACAAGTTTTACATTCAGATTTTGACACGAGTCAGAGACAATTGTTGAACATTTATTTTGGCAAAACAAAGAGAGAATATAACTAATAACTATGACAATAAAAGTAAGGCGGACATTTGGTCGCTCGCTGCAGCAGTATCCTAAATGTAACAACTAAATAGGCGACACACACAGAGGACACACGTATAACCGAAACTAAATGCTAAAAGCAACATGTCATACAATACATGATATATACTTACACACATATATTATATAAATGTTGGAAAATAAATGTATAAAACAATTAGCCGTGTGTAAATGTCTTTTAATAATGCTTTTTCCAGGAATATTCTGCGTTACCCTAACTAACAAATTCTTTCCTTGTAAAAGGTGTCACTTGGTGTACCTCTGCACCACGTCGCGCATCTCCCTGATGACCTCAGCCTGATCGATTGCTCCTACCACAGCCGTGCCTGAGACTATCATATTGGCCCCGGCCTTGGCACAGCATTCGATGGTCTTGGGTCCCACGCCGCCGTCCACTTCGATGTCCAGGTTGGGGTAGTTTGCGCGTAGCCATTCCACCTTGGGCATCATGTCGGCCATGAACGATTGGCCACCGAATCCGGGCTCTACCGTCATCACCAGCACCACATCAGCAATGGACACGAACTTTTCCAGATCCTCGACCTGTACGTTAAAGTAAATTCATTACCATATTCGCCCTCATAGCCGGAACAAAACCACAACTGACCTTTGTGCCCGGCTTGATGGCCAGGCCCACCTTCATGCCGGCCTCCTGCACCAGCCGGCTGACCTTGTCTACGTCCTCCACGGGCTCAATGTGAAACGTGTACAGGTTGACGCCAGCATCGGCCATGGGCTCTATCCACTGCTCCGGTTTCTGGACCATCATGTGCGTCTCAAAAAAGGCCGTCTATATCAGATTACAGAGTTAGGTGAGTATGTGCGAATACACCCAGCTCTAGGGGTCACCTTGATCTTGTTTCGCAAGCTCTTCACCATGGGATGACCGAAGGTGAGATTGGGCACAAAGGTACCGTCCATGACGTCCAGGTGCAGGTAGTCGGCTCCATTGTCCAGCAATTTCTGGGACTCGGCGGCCAAATTGGACAGATCCGCATTGAGAATGCTCGGACCGATCTTGGCTTTGACGGACATCTTGGGGGAGTGCTGCAAATATTTATATTGTTTTGTTTTCATTATTTTGATTAATTGTGAAGCCCAAATAACAAAAACATTACAAAAAACCTACTTTCCTATAAAATTTGTAAACCTAGCCTAAATGGAATCTCAAATTTCTTATTGGACCGGCGTGTGACCAGTGTGGCCAGCTGGAAATCTGGCTTTACCCTAAAACACCTGTTCTGCAAATCGTGTTATCGATACTATCGTTGTTCTTATTTGAAAGCGCTTCCCCGCGAATGCCATAAACAATAGGGGTAATCTTTTATAAATTCATTTTATTTTAATTTGATCAACTTTGCGCTTAGAAATACTTGTTTTGAGAATGTTTCGATTTCAAGTCTACAACTCGTCCTTTTGGGCATTGACTCCCGGGTACTCCTTGTTTTCAATGGTGACTCCCTTGCAGCGCTCCTGCTCAATCAGGAAGTCCTTGGCCTCCCACGCCTGGGCGCCGTCCTTGAAGAGGAATATGGCGCGGTCGTCGTCGACCATGTAGCGCTCCGCCTGGATATGGTTGTTCCACAGGCTGGTCTGCCACAGCTTGGTAATGGTCTCTGCCTCGTCCCTTGTCGGCTTACCGGTCACCGAAACGAATGTCATCAGGGTGCGTCCCTTTTTGGATACCTTCAGCAGATCCTCGGGGTTCTTGCTGTCCAGGTTGGAAAAGTCCAGCTTGGGCTGCGGGCGCAGGTGCTCGGGCAGTTCGTCCGCCTCTAGGGGCTCCTCGTCCTCCTGAAAAATATGCATTGTAATGCGGGCCCTCCACACTTTCAACTCTTGGGACTCGCCTCCCACTGGTCCAGGAGACGCTCCAAGTCCGCCTCGCTGTAGTCTCGTATGTCCTTCTTGGCCCACGCCGGTTTCTCTTCTTCCTTGAACTTCTTGGCCAGCACTAGCGGTGCCAGAGCCAGGATAAACACAATATACCGGGTTTGCATAGTTTTTTGATTGAAGTTCGCCACACGTCACCTATCAGATGACATTCACAGGGAGACGCGCCCGCACAGCTGATGGGCCGCTGCACTATGGGTGAAGTACAAACATTTTATGGCAAAAACAAATACATTAGGTGTTAAAAAATAAAATATATACAGTGGATCGCAGCTTATTTCGTGCAGTCAAGAAACTAAAGTATAAATCATCACTGCTGCTCTACCATAAGAGATATCGAAACAATTTAAATGCAGTGTTTTGAATCAGATATCCTACATTTTAAATTAAAAAAAAATATCTTCCCAATTAATAAGAACAAACAATAATATTAAAAAAACAAATTTATGACCTTTTTTCACGCCGCAGCTTATTTCGTGCAGCTAGTTAAAATGTAAGAAACAATGAATTTTTGGCTTAATTTTTAATTTTTTTTTTATTTTGGCTTTGGTATTGGTAGCTTATGTATATTTTAAAAGTTTCTTGGCCTGATCACACTAAAATATGAAGTTATGGGGAAATAAGTAAAATAGGATCGCGAATTTCTATTAAAATACGATAATTAGTTCTCTTTCAATTTAAGACAGAAAAAAAATCACCGTGGTACTACGAAAATGTTATTCTTAAATCGCACATATATAAAAACATAAATTAATCGTTTGTCCGTGAAGATTGGGCCAAACATAAGGGCCGAAATGCACCGAATACATTTTTCAGTGAACATTAAGTTCATTACATGGACCAAAAAAAAGTGAAATCATTAACAAACGTCTGCCAAATTTGTTATATAGATAGAGCACGAAATAAGAAACAAGTGTAGTGCCGATTTAATACGCCTCTTGTTGCAAAAATACATCTATAAGGCTCTAGTAGTATGAAAAGAGCCATTTATAAGGAAACCAGCACAGGAGCAACATCAAAACTTTTCATAGGAGCTTATAATTCGTCCGATTTTCTTTTGGAATGTTTTTATCTTTACCAATAAGTAAAAGTTTAACTAATTTAATCCTGATGACAGTATAAATTATTGGCGGAGACCCAATATTGAGCTAGAAACCAAACACTTGCAAGCTACTCTGAAGCAAGGCGGCGATCGTGTCTTATTTGGGCCTAAATGGCTTCCTGTAGAGTAGGAAACCAAATTTTTTTGGCAGGATCTTGGAAACCAATATGTTCCCTTCAATATAAAATGTTAACTTCTTTCAAAATGTAGAAAACGTGGTCACACGGGATAGTTTGCAAAACTATTAGTACAGCGGTCTCTACTACTTATCGGACTTTCGGAAGCTTTAGCTCACACAAAACGGTCCTAATGACAAAAAAACAACATCAATGTCACCCAGACATAATCATTATTTAAAATTTTTAGCAAATATTGGACTAGCCATCCCAAAAATTAAAAGTTTTGACCAAAATTATCAAAAAAGTAGTGCCTTAGAGGAATTGATTAAAATTAATCTAGAAACATTAAAAAAACTAGTTAATTCAATTGAAACATCATCTGAAAGGTATTCAGAATAAAATAAGAGGTCACATAAAATTGTTTATATTAAATTAATAAAAATAAGTTGAATCAAACGAAGTGCACGAAATAAGCTGCGGCATGAAAAAAGCCCTCAAATTAGTTTTTATTAAAATACAAAATCGTTTTTATAATTAGGAAGATTGTCTTTGTTCAGTATAAATGTTAGTTCAAGTACTAAAAGTACTGCGTTTAAATATTTGGATTATCTTCAATCGTTTAGCCACAGGGACGTTTTAAATTTTCGTTTCTTGACTGCACGAAATAAGCTGCGATCCACTGTATATACCGACTACACAAATAATATCATTTGTCCCTGGTGAACAATCATATATTTAATAAGACTTTAATAAATTTCAAGTATACCTCATCAAGAAAGACTAACTGACTTTAGAGATAAACCAGAAGAACCTGTCTTTAAAATTAAAGGAAATTAAACTTCAAAATATTTATAAAAATTATTCCCGAAATTATGACAACAGCATTTAGCCCACTGTGCGCTGGCGCTGCGGGCCGAGGCAGTGAATGAATGCCCCCAACAGCTGTCAGTTTCAAACGAGCATCGAAGGCGCGTCGGAATATTGTTATTGCGTGGAAATGCGGCTGGTAAATTGGTTGTTATAATGCAGATAAGCCAGTCGATGCACATGTGTTGTGTTGTGCCGGAATACGCCATATCGCCGCTCGCTCCGTACAGTGTTTTTAAAACTTCAATGAATTAGGCCTGGCGAATTTGATTAAATTGTTTCTTTCCTATAACGATGACATCATCCACGCCGTGTTTTTAATTCGCCTCTCCGTTCCATCTGTTTTGTTTCTGTGCTTGCGTACATTTTAGAAAAATCTTAGCCCCCACAACGACCGCGACCACAAGTATCTCTGAAAAAGCAAACTCTCAAGCAATTGGAATACACCGAAGAAAAATCAATAGAAGAACCGAACCTCAGCGCTAGGACAAGATGGTCTTTGAGGCGGTGGTAACGGATGTGCTGAACAAGGTCCTGGGCGACTACATAGAGAACTTGGATCGGAAGCAGCTGAAAATCGGCATTTGGGGAGGTAAGTCTCCTGTCGTCGTCTCCCCCGGGACATGACACAATTATGCTTAAAGTTCAAACACGCAAATCCATCATTTCACCCCATGTTTATTGCTCTATCTCCACGCAAGTACAAAGAACAACAGCGACGACCTTATCCTTGGCAAAATTACGATTAGTGACCTAATTCTACACAAAAGTTGATGAGAAATTGAGCGGCATTCGCACAGGCATGCGAGAATCGCCAGCAAAAGCACATTCTCCAACGGGCTGCTCCCCCATGAGAGCTGGCGAGAGGATGCGGATGGTTGGCCACAGATGTATGGGCGGTGGTTGGCCAACTGTTGCATCTCTGTGATGCCATGCGTGTGCGGTCTCTGTTTATATTATTCCTTCGCTTTCCGTCTGCGTTTTTATCTATTATACATATATATATTTACTTGTATCGGGTGTCTGTGTGAAACGTAAACAACACCCGGCCTTTTATCTTAGGGCTCTTGCTCATATTACTTAAAACTGCCAATGCGTTGGCATTCCATGTCCAATTGCCTCAGGCAAATGGAGCTCACTCAGAGACTTAATATAGGCCTAGCCTCAACCCCAGGGGTCGCATTGCCACGCACATATTTTTGTTACACTGTAAATGAGTTTAAAAATACAAGAAGAGCCAAACAAACGGGTTTGTTTGTGATTTGTGGCGCAGGTCGGGAGTTGACAGACGACGACCAGGCCAAGCCTGTTTTATATTGGCTGAGCTTGAACTTGATGACATAATGCTGGCTCAGCGGCTTCGTAAATTGGTGTCAAACTGGCATTATTTTAAATATAATTTGCATGTTATAAGATTATTCTTTGGGACTTCCCCTAGCAGTTTAATTTCCCTGTATAAAAATAGTTGCGATGTTATTTATTTATTTCTTATATATTTACCCATTTATTATATTAGTAATCACATTTGTTATAATATTATTAAAGCATGTTATTTTCGCAGCTGCTCAAGTCCTCTGTGTAGAATACTCTTAATCTAATCAACATTAACCCTTATAAATATGTCAATAAGTCGGTTATTCCTAATTTCACTTTCGACTCGAAAGTTTCGAGATTTAACCCTGATTTAACTAAAATCTTCTGGAAGCGAAACCCAGAACGGGTCCAATTAGTCGTCTCCGCTCATTGTACATATATGAAATGATTTATTTTTGCTTTCGTTTGTACATATTCATAATGAATGATTCACGCTTGCATTCAACAAGCTTAATGAGTTGTTAGCTGTAAAAAAGAAAAAAATTGAGATCGATTTCTTAAGTACTATATTTACTATCTTGTTGAATATTATTTACTTTATTAAGTCCTTGCTCTATTTGTAACAAAGTAATTCCATTAAAACCTTTGATTTCTTAAAAACAATTGCATCATTAGTTAGATTTCCAGGAATCACATATCTTAGCACTTCATATCGGCTGTTGAAGAAGCTCCAAGAGGTTGACTGGTCATTAAACTATTGACCCACATGCGTTATTCAATATAAATTCACCGTATTCATTTGCTCATTTGGCATGCCAAGCACAACAAACACTTAACAAATAAAAGGCGGCATGCCCAAAATGCCAGCCATTGGCAAATAGGATATCACACACTCTCTGGATATCACACACTGCGTCGTAAGACCATAAAGCCGGCATACATATATACAGCTGGTGACCTTCGTAAGAAATTCACCCATTGCTCGCTCCCTTCGCAATTAATCAGCAATTAGTCAATGGGCATTTGCTTCTACAGGCACGATTGACTGATTACCGAATGTGATAAGACTAATGGAATCAATTCTATCTTTGTTTTGGCAGGCGATGTGGTCTTGCAGAACCTCAAGATACGCGAGAATGCCCTGGACGAGTTGGACTTGCCCGTGCAACTCATCTACGGCTACCTGGGTGAGTATAACGTTAAAGTTTAACCAAGTTCATTGACCATTTAATTCAATTTACAGGAAAACTTGTGCTCAAAATCCCGTGGAAGCATCTCTACACTCAGCCGGTGATTGTCAACATCGAAGACCTCTACGCCCTGGTCACACCCAACAACAATGTTCAGTACAATGCCGAAAAGGAGGCCAAGTATGAGATGGATATTAAAAAGGCGGCAATGGCTGCTCTGGAGGCAGCTCGCAAAAAGGAGCTGGAAAAGGGTAAGCAGAAGTTACAAGAACAATTTTAATTAAATATTAATTATTATTTCGTAACATTTTAGATCTGCCCGCGCCCAATGCTGGCTTTACCGAGAAGCTGACGGCCCAGATCGTCAACAATCTGCAGGTGCAGATCACCAATGTACATTTGCGGTATGAGGATACCACCACGACGGGAAGTCCCTTCTCATTTGGTATATCGCTGCACGAGCTGGAGCTCTATACCACCGATTGTAATTGGGAAAAGTGCTATATGGCCCAACAGGCGGCGCAGGTCTTCAAAATAGCGAATCTCTCTTGCCTGTCCGCCTATATGAACTGCGGCGGCAAGCTCTACGGCGAGGATAAGAGCCATCTTGCCGAACAGTTCCAGACAAACATTGCTCGGAAGGAGTCGCAGCCAGCCAACTACCATTATGGTAAGTTCATGTATAAGTCTATACTGTATTTTATGTTATTTATAATTTAAAAAATATTAAAAATCGCCAATCACGAAATAGAAAAACGTTGGAAAAATATTTAACAATAAATAAATAAATTCCCATTGCAGTCTTGGGTCCCATCTCTTGCAATGCCAAGCTAAAGCTAAACATGAATCCTGAGCTGGATGAGCCGGCATTCGAGAAACCAAAAATCGATCTAACCCTTGAGATGGAGAAGCTGAACGTGGGTCTGACCAACACGCAGTTTGATAATATCATCAAGCTGGGGGATGCCATGAATCGCCAACAGCTGGGCATGCCCTACCGCAAATATCGCCCCTACAACCTACGTAAATATCTTGTCCATTTCTCTAGTCAAGTTATTTACTTTTATTTCAATTAAACAGCCATCAAGGGACATGCCAGGGAATGGTGGAAATTTGCCATAACCGCTGTTCTGGAGGAGGATGTGAAGAGACCCAATAGGAGCTGGACTTGGGAGCACATCAAGGAGCATCGCGATCGCTGTCACACTTATGCACAGGTTCTTCTTCGACTCTTAATCAATAATATTCCTTAATAATAATTCGTTAAATATTAAAATCAAATTTCAGAAATACAAAGAGCATTCCCTGAGCAAAAAGCCGCCCGCCGTGCTGGTTGAAACCTGCAACCTGCTGGAGCAGGAACTGGACATAGTTAACCTGCTGCTGATACGCCAGCGAGTCAATATCGAGATTGCAAAGCAGCGCGAGGCGGCGCCCGAGGAGAAGGCGGGATGGTTCAGCGGCTGGGGCTGGGGTGGCGGAGCCAAGAAGGAGGATCAAACAGAAGGCCAGAATTTGGGCAAGTTAAAAAATACGATTTCTGGAATAATTTTAAATTAAAGAAGCCCTTTAATTGCAGTGGAAAAGTTCGAGGCAGCCATGACAAGCGAGGAGAAGGACAAGATGTACAGGGCCATTGGTTACCAAGAGAACGTGAAGCCCACGGATCTGCCTGAGAGCTACGAGGCCATCAAGATGAACTTTAAGCTAATCGCCCTGGAAGTGGGCCTGTACAAGGAGGAGAAGAATGGACACGGAGAGTTTAAGGGCTTCCACGAACTGCCCTCGCTGGTCCTTCTCAAGTTCTCGATGGCCACGGCTGCGATCACCCAGCGACCTGCCGCCGAAGCCCTGAGCATTACCGCCGGCATGAGGGAGCTCAAGGTGACGGGACTCAAGTCCGGAGAGAACACACCCCTGCTGATAGAGTCAAAGATCACCGACGAGTTCAACCTGCTGGATGTGTTCTTTGAGACGAATCCCCTAGACAAAAAGTGCGATCAGCGTGTTAAGGTGGTGGCACGTCCACTACAGATCGTGTTCGATGCCCCCACCGTTGTGGCCCTAATCACTGCCTTCAAGAGGCCGGAGGATGTGACGCTCTCCCGGTTTGAAGATGCCGCCAGCTCACAAATTTCCAACTTCAAGGAGCGTTCGGCCACCGGAATGCAGTACATGATCGACAAGAAATCGGTGCTGGACGTGGACATCTTGCTCATGCCGAACATTCTGATTTTGCCCGACAAAGGAGTGTACAGAGAGGGTGAGACGTCCCTGCTGGTCCTGAGCATGGGCCAGGTGCAGCTGTCCAGCACTCCGCGCAACGAGTCGTCCAATCTGATGAACATGCTTTCCACCGGCGAAGAGAAGGTCGACATTCTAAAGGCGGTGATGGACAACGCCTATGACAGGTTTACCGTCAAGGTGGCGGATGTCCAAATGCTGGTCGTCCAGGCTGGGGAGCCGTGGCAGGCGGCGCTGGCGCATGCCGAATCCACGGATATGCACGTTCTGCGACCCGTCTCCCTGCAAGTAACTGCCGCACTTTGTGTGATCGACAACGATCCGCGGCTGCCCAAGATCAAGGTGGACATCGACCTTCCGTCGGTGCTGGTCAACGTCTCGGAGGATCGCGTTATTCTCGCCATTAGAGTGGCCCTGAGCATACCTCTGCCAGAGCAGCAGCAACAACAGCCCGGGCTGCGCGACACTCGGACTAGTTCGCGCAGCTCCATGTCCATATCGACCTTCTTGAACAAAGAAGTGAAAAAGATGAACGTCGGAGCAACCGCACAAGCAGCCACGCCTGCGGTGGCCTTTGATGAGATCACGCAGTACACGAATTTGGATGTTAACTTTTCCATGGGCGAAATATATTTCGTTCTCTTCCAGTCCGACAGATGGAACGAGACTAGCACCAACAATTCCGGCATGCCCACCATAGTGGAGCAGGCATTGGAGACCCCTGAAGAGGGACATCGAGTGCCGACAGCACGCCAAATTCTCTCAATTGAAATTCGGCGACTTGAGGCCCATTTCACGTCGCGAACCTACGAGTCTGTGGCAGCGGTGAAGTGAGTAAATCAATATGTGGTGTGTCCTGGTTAATTAATTCCTTTCCCTTTCAGGCTGGGAGACATCAACCTGCGCCAGTACGGCTGCCCGGACATGGAGACATTGGATGTGATACACACGCCCAAATCTGAGAATAGCTCAAACTATCTGTTCACCGTCTCCTGCACACTGGCTGACAAGACGTCCCCGGAGTTTGGCACCAAGTACAACTCTACAGAGCAGCTGATCGTGGCCAACTTTGAGGTACTGCAGATTGTGCTGCACCAGGAGTGCCTAAGGAAACTCATGGAAGTGGCGAACAATTTCCAATGCAATCTGGATCTCGTGCTGTCCAACAACAGGCGACTGGATAGGACGACTTCTGCCGGTGGCGGCGATGGCATCCGGCAAAAGCTGAACGTTATCCTGGAGGACACCGAGCAGGTAATGACCACCAATCAGATGAAGCGCCGCAAGAATCAGCGGTATGGCGTCGTGGAGAGTGTGAAGGTTCGCATGATTGCGAATCTGGCCCAAGTGGGCCTGAAGCTCACATCTCAGAAGCGAGACTTGACCGAGCTGAACGTGAGCAAGTTCGTATGCAGTTTGATCATGAAGAGCTCCTACACGGAGGTCAACATTGGGCTCAAGGACATACAGGTTGTGGATCTAAATCCGAATACCATACACAGAAATGTAAGTGCTCCCCTTCAACGGCCCCAAGGTATAAATAATACGCCACTATGACCCCTCAGATCCTGAGTATTGTGGGCAAGGACGCCTTCAACTGCCAGGTGGTGCTCTTCAACAAGCAGGAGACTCTCGACTACAACTCGGACGACATGAAGATTACCGTGGACATTGGCTGCTTGAGAATTATCTACCTAAACTGGTTCGTTGCAGGCGTCTTGGTAAGTTACTTGTCCTTGATTGCATATATTTTTCTTATTAATCCTTTGCGACTCTTACAGGATTTCCTTAATCACTTTTCTGAGGCGCAGGCCACCATATCGCAGGCCAGCGCTGCGGCGGCAGAATCCGCCCGCCAGAAGGCCATGGATGCCTACGAAACGGCCACGCGAATGAAGCTTAATATTCGCATCAAGGCCCCTATTATCATAGTGCCCACTAGTTCTCGGTCCCTGAATGCATTGGCGCTTGACTTGGGACTGCTAGAGTTGACGAACAACACGGTGGAGATAGCGGTGGCCAACGAAGAACGGCTGGCGGTCATCGATGAGATCAAGCTGCTCATATGCGATGTAAAGTTAACCAAGGTGACCATAATGGATGGCAATGAAAGCGCTGTTGATGGTGAGTGCAAGAAAATAGCAGAAAATAAAGATTTATATATAAAATATCTTAGTAAATGAAGTAATAGATAAAAACAAGGCCTATTTATTCCTTTTTATATACTAAAACAATCTCCTTTTAATTAAATAAATATATGTTTTTTTGCAAATTCCTTATTTTTATTTAGAAATTGACTCTGCGGTAGGCTATTTGTCCAAATCAAACATGATGAACCCCATGAGCTTCACCTTATTGGTCACACGTAATCTGTCCTACGGCTGGTACAAGGATGTGCCCGAGCTGAGCCTCTCGGGTCGTCTTAAGTCCATTGAGGTAAGTTTTATTTCAGTTTATGTTGTGGAGAGGATTTACATCGATAACCATTATAACCACAGCTCACTCTGTTTGCTGATGACTTTGCCCTGGTGATGCTGGTTATGAATTACAATCTGAGCGAGGGTTTGGATGAGTTTCCTCCTAGTGAAGAGGAACCGCCTAAGCCGAAACCGAGGTCCCCGGAAAGGCGGCTCTCCCGTGTGGATCGCCAAACGCGCAGTCCGCTTCCCAAATCAGAAAAGATTGTCGAGGCCATCAAGTTTAACTTTCAGTTTGATGGCGTGATCATAAACCTAATGGAGAGTAAGTACCCACCCGAAAGGTGTCCAAGTGACTTGTGTTTCTTCCAACATAAATGTTGTATTTGCCCTTCTTTAGGCGAAGACGAAGGACTGGCTCGGTTCGGAATTTATTTCCTATCGCTCAAGGGCACCAAGCTGGACAATGGCACCCTGAGCACCTCGGTGGTTCTGTGCAATATCCAAGTGGACGATACGCGCAAGAAATCAAAAACTCAGATCCGGCAGTACCTGAGCCGCAAGGATTGGGTAGAGCCAAAGCTCAAAACGGATGAGATCATTGACGTGTGCTACAACGAGCGCAACTTTATGGTGGATATGACGGCCATTATAAAGGAGAACGACACCTTTGGTAGGTCTTGAAGGGTTCTCCTTTATCCTTAACAATGTAATGTATATTTTTTTTGCAGCTGAGGTCCGTGTGCGTGGCTTTGACTTGATCGTCTGCATCGACTTTCTGCTCAGGCTTTCCACCTTCTTCAGCCTGCCAGCCGATGATAAGCCACCTGCAGCCGCAGAGGCAAAGGCTCAATCAGTGACGGCAACGGTGCAAGAGTCCCAGAAAACCTTGCGACAATCCACCGTAGGAGCAGCCAACGAGATAATGGCAAAGGAGTCCTCTGGTAATTATAAAGAGTAGGCACCTCAAGTCTCCTCTTAATGCAAGAAATTTGTATTTCAGTGCAACCAGCTGTGAGCAAGAAGGTCAACCTCATACTGCACATTGACGAGCCGGATATAATACTGGTGGAGAATCTGGAGGATCTCAACACCAGTTGCATCATTTTTAATGTAAGCCGAACAATTAGTTAAATAAATTCGTAGCTAAGTTGTTCACCCACCTTTTGCAGGCCCATGCCCATCTGAATTTCCGCAGCATAAACGAAAAACAGATCATCAATGGGCAAATCGATGCCCTCAAGATGTACATGTGCGCCTTTCTGCCCGAGCGACGCGAAATCACCCGCCACTACATCCTCCATCCGTGCGTGATTAGCCTGCAGGGCTCCACGCCCGAGGAGGAGGGCATGCACATAAGCCTCAAGCTGAGCGACATCATCATCAACGTATCACCGGCCACCATTGAGCTGCTGAACAAGGCGATGGTGAGCCTCACCAGTGGAAAAGTGGTAAACCAGGCAGTGGCCGAGGATGCGCGCAACCATTCGAATCTGTGGAAGCAGCATCGCTTCCAAAGCCGCAACTACTGGTTCACGCGAGTGGACAAGGGTGTCGAGGCCCTGGAATACGAGGCCACCACTGCTGCGGCTCCAGTGGCCAAAGCTGAGAAGTGCGTGATCGAGATGCCCAGCATTACGCTTGTCATTGAGTCCGGCGTGGGCTACTACACCAAGCCCCTCATTTCGCTGGACACCCGCATTACGGCCGTATTCAACAATTGGAGCCGCAATCTCACTGCCCAGGGCTCACTGACGGTGAACATGGTAAGTAGCTTGAAATTACGAATAATATCTACCAGAGATTGATTGATATTTGTATGTATAACTCTTTCTTTTTCCGCAGAACTATTATAACCAAACCCTGGCCGAGTGGGAGCCTATCATCGAGCTGAACGAGGTGGTGGGCCGCAATGGCGTCCGCGAGTATACGCCGTGGGAACTGAAGTTTGAAATGGGCATGGAGAAGGTGCAGAACGAGGCGAATGAAGAGGAGGAAGAGCAGCAAGCGATGCACATGAATATCCATTCGAAGGAGACGCTTGAGATAACGCTGAGCAAGACCTGTCTGGGCCTGCTTGGCGAGCTGGCCGAGGCCTTCTCGCAGGCCATCGATGAGAAGGGTCTGTCCAAGCCCGGTATCGTGGCGCCCTACGTGCTGGAGAACGACACGGGCTTCGATGTCAATCTGGATCTGCGTAAGGGCATGTTTACGCTGCACGAGGTGCACTGCGGAGCCACCGCGGTGCCCAATAGCACTCTTCTCTTGTCCAACTATTCTGTTGACGTTGACCCCAGTGCCATACAGACCTGCACCATTTCGGCGGGCGGACGAGCCTACTTGCAGACCAAGGATCTGAGCACATTGTCCGACGAGGATGCCGAGGACTATACTTTCTATGTGACGGTTTGTAGTCTCAACTCTGAGTAACAGTGAGGTTTGTAAGCTTACAGATTGGCTTTCCCTTAGATTGGCGACATTGGCAAGGAGATCGCATTGCCGGTGTCCAAATCGGACACCCGATTCTTTAACCTAATGCGCAGCTCGACGCACGAGCCCTGGGGAATCGTTTCCGAGGTAAAGCAGGAATATGGAACCACCAAAGTCAACATCCATGGTGTCGTCAGTGTAAGTCCCAGCTGGATTGCTATAGCATTTGATTCTTGAGTCTCAAGTCCCAAACTCTCACCACAGATCCACAATCACTTCACGTGTCACATAGACATTTATCGACGCAACACGAATCCCACCGCGGATAACTTTGAGGATATCTATGTGGGGCAGGCCAAGAAGGGAGAGGTGTTCCATGTACCGCTCCATGCCATTTACGCAGACGCCAAGGACTTGTACTTCTCCATGCAGGGCTACAGAACCTCGGTGCAGGGCATTGCCTGGAACACGAACCCCTCGGACTTCAATTACTCGCACCAGCTGCACTGCAATCCGACCAAGACATTCGAGCCGCTTTACATCAACGCCCAGCGTAAGAAGACGGAGATCTACAACGAGTACTCGAACAAATACACGATGCTCAGCGCCTTCTATACGATTCACCTGCGCCCGCCGCTCTACCTGCGCAACTCCCTGCCCATCAACATCATGGTTTCTGTGGCCGGGTGCTCGGTGATGAAGGAGGAAAATCTGGATGCACAGTCCTCAATGCAACTCAGCAAGGAAAGCTCCATTAGAGAGGAGTTTCTGGACTACGGCGAGAAGGAGGTAAAGTCCGGTAATGTGCTCCATCTGCCCACCGTCCGACTGTCCACCAAGGGTACAGAATCGAAGAGTGTCCTGGTCGTAAGGGTAAGTTGACCCCTTTCACTAGAAAGGCAATGAATAGTAACCAATTCTCCGCTTAGCTGGTTCAATACCTGGAGAAGGACTGGTCTTGTACCACCGAGGTTTCGGACTACTCTGGCGACATTGCCACCTGGACGTTCTCATCGTACGACTCGGAGATGAAGGTGGACAAGGATCTTTATGTCAAGTGAGTAGCTACAAGCTGGTATAAGCGAGCTCTGGTTAGAGTTAATTTCCTTCTTCCGCAGAGCTGAAAACCGGCATGGCAGCCTGATGCTCACGCTATTCAGCCCCTTCTGGATGATCAACAAGACGGGACTGATGCTCAGTTACCAGACGGAGTCGACATCCGTGGACGTTCTATACCATCCGCCTGAATATTCCGGACCCATTCTGTTGACTTTCCGGGATAAGCTCTTCTTTGACAAGAAGAAGGCTTCTATTCGCTGCGACAACGGCAACTGGAGCGAGAAGATACCTCTAGACATAGCTGGGGCCATCGGCGAGGTCACTTGCCAGGCGAACGACATGAATTACCACATCGGTGTCCACAACCATTTGACGCAGAACTCGTTGACCAAGCAGATCACCTTCATCCCCTTCTACATCGTGTGCAATCGGTGTCGTTTCCCCATTGAACTGCAGGAGCAGAGCCGCCCGGCGGATCCCTGGCTGCTTCTCGAGACAAACCAGTTCGAGCCGCTTTGGCCGAAGACGGAGAGCAAGAACAACCTGGTGGTGCGCGTCGAGGGCAAGATAACGCCGGCCTTCGACTACACGGAGGTGATCTGCACGCTGCTTAAGCTCGAGGACAGCAAGTACGGCGGCATCAATGTGGACGTTCAGACCACGGAGGGCGGAGTGTACATCACGTTCACGGAATACAAGACGGCTGACGCCCCCGGAATGCTGATCAACCACACTAGCCACCAGATCGTCTACTACGAGAAGGGGACGCACAATGAGCACATCCTGAATGCCAAGAGCACCATCATGTACGCCTGGGACGATCCGACGGGTCCCAAGGTGCTCGTGTTTGGTTCCAACAAGCAGGAGACGGACCTCAAGCGGGACAACATCGGCGAAGTTGTGTAAGACTATCTCATATTCCAGTAATGTATATTTATCCCTGCTAATCGGGGTTTTCTTTTCATTGACAGCACCGAGAATGGCGAGAAGGTGCTGTGGATATCCTTCCTGGACGGCCTGCAGCGAGTGTTGCTATTCACCGAAGACGAATCCATTGCCCATCGTACCGAGAGCACCGCTGCCCTGCAGTCCATCACCCAGAGCATCGATCTGCGCATCCACGGCATCGGTTTCTCATTGATAAACAACGAGTCTGGTCTGGATATTCTGTATCTGGGCATCACCAGCTCTGGCATCATCTGGGAGTCGAAGAAGACGACCAAGAAGCGCTTCAAAGAGATGACAATTAACGATAATGCGCTCATCGAATCCGAGTATCAACGGTACCTGACGCACCAGAAGGTCAACGATGTCCAGACGTACAAGCTGGACAATAAGTTCCCGGTAATTATTGCGTGATTTAATTAGTTATTTATATAAAGCTAACAGTTGGTATTAAACTATCTACTAACTTATGTTTTAAGAGCATTAGTTGCTGCGGCAAGGGACATTTTAGTCAGAAGTTTCCCACTCAGAGAAGGATGGGTTTATCTTCTTTGGGATATGCTAATTTTTATACCCTTGCATGGTATTATAATTTCAGTCAGAAGTTTGCAACGCAGTGAAGGAGACGTTTCCGACCCTATAAACCATATAAATTCTTGATCAGCATCAACAGGGGAATCTATCTAGATATGTCCGGAAGAAATCGATTTTTTTGTAATTTTTGCAAAATTTTATAAGGGGTTACATCATTCAAATTTTTGATTTTGATAAAAAATTGAATTTTTAACATTTTTAAATGAAGTATGCAGATTTATTAACTGTAGAAAATCTTGCACAGAACAGTTTTCCGATTTAAAATTAATGCTCTTTTGGCCGAGTTATGATATTTTTAATTTTAAAAAAAATCAATAAGTTTTTTAATATAAAAAATCAGATTTTATAATACAAAATAATATTTTTCTAAGTCAAGGAATCATATCCGACCCCATAAACCATATACATATATTCTTGATCAGCATCAACAGGGGAATCTTTCTAGACATGTCCGGAAGAAATCGATTTTTTTTGCCATTTTTGCGAAATTTGATAAGGGGTTACATCATTAAAATTAGCAAAGATGGCCAAAAATTTTGATTTCTTTAAATTTTAAATTTGGTATGCAGTTTTTTTAAATTTATAAAAACTAACACAATACTGCTTTCCGAATCGAAATTAATGCATTTTTGGCTTAGTTATGATATATTTTAATTGTTACCTGCAAGGGAATACAAACTTTGGCTGGCCAAAGTTAGCTTTCTTTCTTGTTCATTCTTATTTACTTTCTTTTCAGATCGACTTTGATCAAATGATTTTGAAAAAGACGGTGGATCGCGATATACGACGCAGCTTCTATCCGGCCATTTGGGTGTCCCAGAAGTCGTCGCCATTCCAGAGCCAGCTGCACATGAAGATCAACCGCATCCAAGTGGACAATCAGATCATGGATCCCATATTCCCCGTGGTGTTGGCCCCGATACCGCCGCCCAAGAGCGTGGCCAGTACCACGGCCCTCAAGCCGTTCATCGAGTGCAGCATGGTGCAGCGGATTATGCCCAACTCGTCGGTGCGACAGTTCAAGTACGCCAAGATCCTGATCCAGGAGTTCCTCTTCAAGGTGGATCTGAACTTCCTCACGGCCCTCGCCGACTTGTTCTCCAAGGAAGTCAGCGACGAGACGGAGGCCAAACAGTTCATCCAGGATGTTGAATCCATTGAGCTGCCACTCTCCGCCTTCTTCGAGGATCATTCGTTGCAGGAGCAGAAGAGCTTCTACGACAACTTGCATCTGGGGCCGCTGAAGATTCACGTCAGTTTCTCGATGGCCGGATCGGACACAAAGGCCCTGCCCGGCTTCCTCGGCTCGTTGGTGCAGGGTGTGGGCGTTACCCTGACCGATGTCAACGATGTGGTCTTTCGCCTTGCCTTCTTCGACCGGGAATACCAGTTCTTCACCCAACAGCAGCTGATCAACGAGATCACTTCGCACTACACGGGTCAGGCGCTGAAGCAGCTGTACGTGCTTGTCCTGGGCCTGGATGTTCTGGGCAATCCCTATGGCCTGGTGGTGGGACTCAAGAAGGGTGTCGAGGACTTGTTCTACGAACCGTTCCAGGTAAACTAAGCCATTCAAAGCGATGATATATAGATTGAATCTAAGCCTTATTTTTAGGGTGCTATCCAAGGTCCTGGAGAGTTCGCCGAGGGCCTGGTTCTGGGCGTAAAGTCACTCTTTGGGCACACGGTGGGCGGTGCTGCGGGAGCCATGTCAAAGTATATAACAACTACATTGAAAAATCTTATGAAATTTATAAATAATACGTTTAATGGCTCAACAGAATCACTGGAGCCATGGGCAAGGGTCTGGCCGTGTTGACCTTCGACGATGAATACCAGAAAAAGCGGCGCCAAGGCATACACAATAAGCCGAAGAACTTCCACGAGGGTCTGGCTCGCAGCAGCAAGGGCCTGGTTATGGTTAGTCCTGCTTCAAACCCTTCGTTTTCCCATTTTTAATTTAATTAAAATCCATTTCAGGGCTTTGTGGATGGTGTGACTGGCGTTGTAAGCAAACCAGTGAGTGGAGCTCGCGAACAGGGCGTTGAGGGCTTCTTCAAAGGCCTGGGTAAGGGTGCAATTGGCCTGGTGGCTCGCCCCACTGCTGGTATGGTTGACTTCGCCAGTGGCAGCTTTGATGCTGTGAAACGCGCGGCGGAGGCGGGTGAGGATGTCAAGCGGATGCGTCCGCCACGCTTCCAGCACTACGACTTTGTCCTGAGGCCGTACTGTCACATGGAGGCCATGGGTAACAAAATACTAAAGTAAGTTTGTGTAAGAAGAAATCACAAATCAGACAGTGACTTTGTATACTTTTATTTTAAAGGGAGACGGATAAGAGTAAGTTTGCAACCACAGACAGCTTTATCCACTGCGAGGAGATTATCCAGAAGTCCGAGTACATAATAGTGACCAACTACCGCCTGCTGTACGTCCAGCGCAACGAGATGTTCGGCATCTGGACGGTGAGTTTCACAAATTGCCAAGTTACCAAGATTTCAATATATATATCCTCCGCATCCGTAGTCCCTCTGGTCTTACCTGTGGAGTGAGATTAGCTCCGTGGCGACGGCCTCGCGGGGTGTACAGATCACCGTCAAGACGGAGGCCAAGAAGGTGCTGGGTCTGTTCAGCCCCAAGGAGTCGACCCGTAAACTGGTCCTGCTGGCCGATGAGCGGAAGCGTCTGGCCCTGGTGGACATAATCGAATCTCATCTCGCCGATCCCAATCCTCACAGGGTCACGGTCGCCTATCCGGGGAGCAATCAATAATGGACTTGAATTTATTTTCCCAACTGTATTATAATCCAAGCACACATCCCCACGGCACCAGCAACGACATGGAAATCTACCTCGAGCCTGCAAGATTCTGTCTGTCCAAGCACCTGGCACCCGGCACCCTGCAACCCATTGGTAAACGTGTCCTGCTTTTACATATGTCAACAACCATTATGTTTTGATATTAAAATTTTATGTCAAAGTTAATGTGACATCCGGAGAGTGAGTTTCACTAGCCTAGGGACTAAATCTACAATACGGAGACGAACGGTGTCTCTCCGGGGTGTCAGATGTCAGATGATAGGGGCTACGGCTACACCTTCTTCAGGTAGCTGCTGGGCGGCGTGGCCAGCGGCATGATGGGCTCGTAGTTGTTGCAGCCATCGCTTTCGCAGAAGGATGTCAGCGATGCCAGCGCATTGGCGGCCAGCGCCTCCACGCTGAACATGGTGCTCAGGTGGCCGCTGCTTTCGAACTGGTTGATGATCATGTTTACCTTGCTCTTGGCCTCCGCCTTCAGGCATGGCGATGTGGGAAGGCCGGGCAAACCGAGATCTCGTTCGCCGGGACTGCCATCAAAGCCCTCGCCCAGCTCCGAGTCCGTCAGCAGATTCTCCTTCTCGCTCTGCTTGCACTTGGCATTGCTGGGTGACGAACCAGGTGAGCCCGTGCCGGTGGCCTTGGTTCCGCTGCTCTTGTTGAGGCGACTCAGAAACCAATTGCGGGCCAGCTTATCACAGTCCTTGCTCGCCGGACTCGTCTGCGGCGTGGTCTGCGACTTGCGCTGTTTCTTCTGTTCCTTGGTGGGCGTGAGGCCGGGGCTGGTCAGGGGAGACAGCATTTCGGACTCGCCGCCATTCGAGTAGCTCTTCTTTACAGCCTTCTTGAGCCGATCTGGACTGGGACCGCCCGGCGACAGCTGATTGGAGAGCTCGCTGTGCACGGTTTTGACACGGGCCTGGAAATCCAGCGACATGCCGCCATGCAGGCTCGATGGTTGGGGTTGAACGTGGATGTCGCTCTCAGTGTTGAGCAGGCCAAAGGACTCTACCTCACCGTCTGTGGCAACTGCAGGCGCGGCGGCTTCCTGCAGCGGCTGAGCCGGACACTTGGGCACATCGTACTCAAAGCGACGGGCCAGTGAGCTGGGACTATTATTCTTTTCGGGCAGCTTCGGCAGCACCACTGCGGCGGAGTCTATGAGCCCGTAGACGGGCGAGGGCTCCTCGTAGATGATATCCGCTGCCGTGTAGGTGGACTTCTTCTGGACCGGCGGCGTGGGCAGTTTGCGAGGAATCGGAATCTTTAGGGGCAGATGGGCACCGGCATCTCCGCGGATGGCCGCCTCGATGGCGTGAATCCACTCTTTGGCATCGACCTCATTGTTGGCCTGGTACACGAACTTCTTGTTGGGGTCATCGGTGGTGATTTGAAAGCAGATGTCGCGCCGTTTGCCCTCGCCGAAGTGCTCAATCTCGATGGAGGAGCTCTTCAGGTAGAGGGTGCTGCTCGGCCGGCATGCCGTGGGTCCATCCGCATAGCACAGCATCCAGTCGTTGAGGATGCCACAGTAGCACTTGCGGGTCTGGTCGAAGAACAGCCGCTTTGGTACGATCCGCTGGAGCTGGCCATACTTGGTGGATCTCTGCAGGGACAAGTGACCAGCGGGAAGATCTGCATAGGGGCAATCGATGATCAGTTCGTGGGTGAAGGTGATCACCTGCTGGGACTCATCCTCCTCCTGTTCCGCACCCGGTCCACCCTGGCAGATCTCGTAGAGCCCCTGGTGGTGCTCCTTCTCCGCTGATCCCGTAACCGGTTGGTGGTGTGCAGAGCAGCGATCCAGAGAACCGCTGCTGCCCAGATCAATGTATTCCCGCGAGGCGGACACTGCAATTAGGGGTAATTAGTGCTAGTTGTTGGCAGCGTGAGTACAGTCAAGCTTTTGCCACTTTAAACCGATCTGAGAATGTTTAGGTTCTCTTGTTTCTTCAAATATTTGGGTGGCAATATATTAGAACATTTTAAAATATTATTATCTGGGTGATTTTATGGCTTAATTATTCATCAGCCATCTCAAAACCGTAAGACTAATGGGAATTTAACTTCAGATACTTTCAAAAATGTAAGTAACTCAAAAGAGAAGACAAAATAAAATCAAAAGTAGTTCTGAAAGGTATTTTCTCTCTGTGTAATAATTAAGATCGCTTCTGTTCCAAGTTAATGGTTTGAGTAATAGAAGTTTGACTGTAAACATTTAGTTTTCGCGGGATCACTCACGCGAGTTCCTCGACGAGGATGGGGATGCGAGTATCTCCAGATAGCCGCTGGGACCGGTCTCCGCGCCCACCTTGCTGTCGACGCAGTCGACCAGGCTGCTTCGATGGTTAACTGGCGTCGCCTGCTCGTCTGCGCATCCCAGTCCAGATCCGGATCCAGCCAGTAGAATCTCGCAGCGGGCGAGAAGAGCGGCGGTCTGCTCCGCGGCCGTCATGTGGAAGAGGTTCGAGGCATTCTCGTACTCCGAAGTCTCAAGCGAGGCTCGGAAATGGGCGCGCACATCTGCAAGACAAAGAGAAACAGTGGATGGGATGGTGAGTTCTAATGCTCGGCTTCGGCTAAATAAAGCGACAGCGGTCCCATTAGCTATTAATTTTGAAACGCATCATTGGCCCTAATGGCTGAGCAGCAGTTGTGCAAGTCGAAGGGGGCAATTAGTCGGCCGCTGGAGTGGTGTCTCTTCTGCTGCCGAGTGACTCACCGGGCCCGAGAAGTTGAGCTTGAGTACTCCGATTCCAAGCTATGATACCACATACACACAGCACAGCACAAGTGACCTCATAAAGCGCTCGCTCAAGAGTCAACTGCGAATTGACCGCGGCAATTAAAAATAATTTCACTGGCCAAGAAAGTTAACTCTGTTGTCTCTGTGCCTCTGGTCTGGTACCTCCTCCCTCCCTCTCAGAAGTATAAATTATTTAACGGTAAACAACAAAAAGAAAGAACACTGAAATTTGCAAGAAATCTTGTTAAAATTTGAGCACGCAAAGCTCTGGAGAGCTCTTTAAACGTAATAAGTCCGAATATGGGAATAAGAAACAAGAACGAAAAAGGCATGCTTGTCAGGCCCGAACCAGAGACGACTCCCTTGAATAAGCCACTTGGCTTGAGTTTTGGGAACACAGCGTCGTTTTATGATACCCTTAAAGATCGTCAAGCAAATGTTATAAAGTGGGTTTAAAGTGGTTTTATGATTTACTAGAAATTAACCTACGAAAAAAAAGATTTAAAATATAAATATTTGATAGAGGTTCATTTCGTCATTACTTTTTAAAAAGTATATATTTTTATAATTCATAAAAATATATGCAGATTGAAAAACCCACTTGATAAGAGAGTGCATTATCTGGTTATTGAATGTACTTTTCCCCCTACCACTTCCTTTTCGATATTTAAATATAAACTAAACGATATCCCCTTCGGCTGAGATTTTCCCAAAACAATGATAAATGAAAGCAACAGTCATCGGAGGAGGGTTTAATATGCTTCCTATGCCCTGCAGAGCCAGTGAACCGAGACTTGAGAAAATTAAACTGACTACAGAAGACGACGCCAAGGGGATGGGACGGAGGCTAAAACAAGCGCTTTGGGCATAGTTCTGCGGCATGTCCAATCCTCTGTTTATTGTCTGCCTTTTGGATACAGAAACACATGTATGCTGGACACAGTGTATAGGTATAAATATACATTTAAACGATCCGGGGGGAACGGGGCTGTCCAGCGAGGAGACCGAATCGCCCGCGATAAAAATGTACGAAATATACACAGAGCCAAGCGATGGTAAAGAACGAGAAGAGCCAGAGTCTGATGATCATAAGCCAGAACCAGAACAAAAGCGTATTAAAGTTGGACGCCTGCGGAATGAGTCAATAATACTCTGGCACTGGGTTATTGTTAATGCTCGTGTGTCGGAGTTAGCTCTTCCAAGTTGGTTTTGTAATTTTATTTAACAATTTTTGTATACCCTTAATGGGTTTTACATGGGTTTTACAATTTCCTCAATTTTAAATTTAATTTTTTAAAATATTAAATTGAGTAGCATATTTACTTATCTAAAACAATCATTTTCGGTGCGGTTAATTTGTCAATTTGAAAACTGGAAGGGTATACAAGAGTCGGTTGACCGATCTTAGCTTCATTAATTATTAATTACTAACTACCTTTAAGTTTGTTACTCTTTTTTAGCAAAACAAAAACAAACATTTCAATCTATAACGAGAATAGTTTACTTTAGGTATTCCGCAATAAATATATTTTCCAAGTACAAATCCATATATACTAGTTTTTTGTTTGTTTTGTAATTAAATAAGTGCCAAAACCATTACTGATTAGTATACTTATTCGCCTGCAGAGAGAGAAATGCTTATATAAATAGTATAAACAAATGAGATTAGCCTTTATTAAGGTGTTAACTATTCCTACACTATACATTTTGAGCTGAGGCACTAAAAATAAAAAGAATAAAGTGGTAAATATTTGTTTCTAAGGAAAATCTAATTCATTTATGGTCTTTAAAATATTTCTAAATATTTTTTGGTGCATAAAAAGAGGCTTCTTTTCGTGTTATAAAAAATTGTAAACTTACCCAACAAAAACTGCTCGATTTCGGCCCGCTTAGGGGCTGCCTTTGTATCCATGGCTTGTATTTTGTATTTTATTTTCTCGCTGCTTTGTGTTTTTTGTATTTAACGCTCAGTGTTAATTTGAGGCGCTTTGCCTTTTGCTTCTAATGTGCTTTGAGCGCTTGTTGTGCTGCTGATCGTTTGATTTCTCGCCCGGGCTTTATTGTGGCTTCTCTCCGATCTGAATTCGTATCTGTATCTGGCATATCCACCAACTGCACATACAATGTTTTGCCTTAGAAATTAACAGTTTGCTGCGAAAAGCGGATAACACATTTTTATAAGATCACATGCACAACTTATGGACTGCAGTATGTGTAGTATTCCTCGATTCGGAGACACACGCGCTACTGAAGGTGTTCCTGCTGCACCACCGCCGGCAGGGAAACACCTCCCCCGCTGTGAACCCGCTGTGGAGCTATCCTATTAATAGACGGGCTATCGATGCACCACTTGATGCCGCGCGCATCCAGCAGATACGCGTACGCCTCGAAATACAATACAATTTGTATTGCGCCTGCAGCTCGCAGCTCCGCTTTATTCGTTTTATTTTTTATTCTTTATTATTGCCTACTATTTTCGCTTTTTTCGGTTGCACGCTTCGTTTGGCGCCTCATGGAAAATCAACTGATGACGTTATGTGAGCGAGTATCTGGGTATCTGAGTATCTGAGTATCTGCCAGCCAAAAGCTACAGTATCTAGATTCGTTTGTGGGGAAAACGTTGACTGTGCGCCTGCCATTAAATGCCATTACGAAATCTCTCTTTCGAACGCCCAACGCCCCTCTGCACTTGCCTGGGTGTCTCCGTTTTTGTTAAATTTTTTTGTCTTTCTGATTGTCTTCTGTCTGTCATTTGCGGTTTCCACTGTTTTGCGGCCAAGAATTGAATACAAACACGGGTTGCCCGCACGCAGAGGAAGCCCTCGGAACCGGGGACCAAGCCTTTTTAATTGTGAGTCATCTGCAGGGCGACGCGTGTCGCCACAAAGAAGCGACCCTCTGTCCAGAAAAATGCAAATACGGTCGACACAAAGCACTATTTGCCGCAGCGCAAAGTGAGAAAGAGCTTACGATGATGATAATTTTTAAAACAAATCGCAGAGAGATACCCTTAACACCGAAAAACCTTATTAAAAAGTTCATATCTAATAGATATTAAAGATACCACAGATTTTTGACAGAAACTTGTGCTAAGGCTTCAGCTTAGCTCTTTAAATTGATCATAAATATAAGCTAATGAGCTGAAATAACAATTCTAGTTGCCAAGTTCTACTGTGTAAGCAAAATGCTGACCATTTCTCTGGGTGGCACACCACCCGTACGTACACCTGCTAGCAGTACGTGTCCGTAGCCTGCTTTTACTTTTTTCTCTTTTTTTATATCTTGCCCATAAAACAGAAAATATATAATTTCATTGGCTCTGGGACTGGACGTCTGGCAGGCTGGCACTATGTATTTGCTTCGTTTGTGCCAAACGCTTAAATTGTTTATTGATTCAGAACATTTGCAATGCGACACCTTTGTTTTGTTATTGATAAACGCTCGGCGAATTCCCAACGAACAAGTGTCGTCGTCGTTCTGTGGAAAAGCCAAAACAAACTGTTGGCCAGCTGTCTGGCACCGCGACTTTTCCGGCCACGAAATCTCTGTGACAGCCAGTGCGCAGGCGTGTCCGTCTCTGTCTCCCCATCACCACTTCCGGTCATTTTCGATGACGGACCGGCTTCCTGCCGGCACGAACCCCCAATTACGAAATTACGAAATGCATCCACGCACAGAGTTTGATTTTGCATCCGGTTTTCCACGGCGTTCTGACAACGTTGACACCTTTTCGCTCTCGGGCGAACTTTTCCTCGCCGGAGCCAAGAAGCGAGCGCGACTTTCCGGCTGTTGCGCCACCATGAATCACTCGAGCTCAACTGACTGGCTGACTTGGGGCTTTGGTGTGGGCCTCTCTGGCGGCCCCAGCTCTTGTATGGCAGCCGAATGGTAGTCCGAGCGCTGACGAAGTGCCCTCGGCTCTGGTTCTGCACGCAGAGAAATTATAACGATATTTCGGGCTTTACACATTAAGCTTGAATTGTGGGTCTACCTTTTAAAGATTAACTTAAAGGATCTGGAAAGGTAATGTTTCATTAGAATTCCATTTCCCTTGTCATATTGTTTTTCTCCGTGTAAAAACCACAGTGCCAAAGTGTGTTTTGCATTGCTTTTTCGGGGGAAATGACAGCAGGCCGGCCGGCCGGCAAGCTAAAGTTAAAGGCCCACGCCCAGTCCTCCGTGCGCAGTCCCCAATCCTCGAATAGGCAGCCCAAAATTCTATAGTTTTTGCCACATTTAGAGAGCCGATCCCGCCGCTGATATCATATTTTAGAGAACATCTTGCCCATTTTGGCAAAAGCCAAACAGGCTGACCAACTACAGTGTGACTTCCGTAAATTGAATGTAATTATAAAATTATTTTTAAAACCATTTATTTTTTATAAGTTATTTTTATAGTTTTCCCCTTAATTTTATGCTTATTTATTTTAAAATATATCAAAACCTAAACAATTCCTTAACTTTATTGGTTCAAAAGGGTTTGTACCTCAGAAGACAAACTGTAAAACCAGAAATCTTCTAATGTGGCAGGCAGATGTTGTTGCGGCAGCTGCTGAGAAATCCGAGTTTGAGTCTTCGCAGAAAGAAGGAAGCCCAAGTCGCTACCAAGGCAATCTGGGACCTGAAGCCCTCCGCCTTCTCCTCTCTTGTGCGTGTCCTCCTCTTTGCTGTGCGGCAGATAAAGCGAGCTGTCCGAGACCCCGCTCGGCTGCCCTTTTTGGGAGCTGCTCTGAAGGACGCGTCCATGGGACGCTGTGGCAAACAACTCAATTTTAATTAAACGTTGCGCTCCAAGAAATAAATTAAGCATGCTGGCCGGGTTGGCTGCGCAATATCTGGACAGCCTTGGGTCGAGCCGGGCTGCAGTGATAAGTAAGTGCATAGCCGTTGCGTGACTCGACCCAGAAGACTGTTCGGCTGGATAACAGGTTCCCACCTGGGCTGGCTGACTAGCTGGCTTTATCAACCGGCACAAAGAGCCTGATTCTAGTATTGTGCAAACGCTTAATTATGTGCCATAACAAGTATTTTCATTCAACTAAACCACAATCTTTGTACTTAAATGCATTGACTACTTGAGGAACGCTTGCAGGCGGTTCTCCTGCGACTTGCTGGCGTCTTTAAACGCGTGCGACTTCAGCTGGGCGGCGAGTTGCAGCAATGCGTTTTGCTTTTTTGTCTTTGACTGAGCCTTTTGAACGGTGGGTGCCGACGGTTTGGCTGCCTTCATCTTCTTCTTTTTGCTCGTCTGACTGGGGGTCTGGGAAGCTCCTCCTCCAGCCGGTTGCGAAGGCCTTTTGGGTGGCTGCTGCTGAGGCGTTTTTTGCTGCTGTTGGGGAATCTTCAGGCCTGCATTGATATCTTTATTTTGGACCTGGGTATTCTTCGACTTTTTGGTCTTCTTTTTGTTTTGGACTGTTGATGCTGCTGCCGCTGTGGGTTGTGTGGTTGCCATTGTTTCCTCCTTGGCTTTTAGTTTGGCCCGCTTATGGCCCTTTTCCAGGGGCAGCATTGTCTTGTGCTGGCAAACATCGCAGTCGACGGCCTGTAAAAAGGGAATTGATAAATATGTTATACTATTATAAATTTTATGTATGAATTTAAATGGTAGATCTAAAATTCAATCCTCGTTTAATTTTAGGACCTCCTAAGACTCCTGACACTCACCACTTGGCTGGTCATGCGCTTCTTCAGCCATTTTGCCCGCTTCCTGGCTCCGCTGCTCATCTCGCCCTTTATCTGCTTGGCTTTCATGGTGTCCAGCTGAGCCACGAGCCTCCGGTTCTTGGCGCTCGGCTTCAACCTCTGGGGCTGCAAATGGAGCTGGTATCGGCCGTCCGCCCACTGGTTGCCGCAGCGGGCACACATCCGTGCCGATCCGAAGCTGTCCTCGGGCAGCTGGACATTGTGCCGCGCCAGCTTTTGACATGTGGTTCTGGATGGATGGTATTATATTAATATGAGGCCGTTTCATAAAAGATAACCAGTGAAACTCACATGTAATAAGACTTGAGGAGCCGTTCCGTGTGAGATTGGGCCGTAAGCCTGGCAGCACAGTTCCACAGAAAGTCCATAACGGCAACATGAAACTATGGATTGCGGGGAAGCTCGACCAGCCTATTATTTTTATTTGTTTTGCCTAAAATGTAGTAAACTTTGCGCTGTTTTAAATTGTTCAGGTTTCTTCTTTAATGTTTCCCCTTCTAAAGTGTGGATTGTATTAGTGGATCTTGTTTGGTATACGAGCAATGTGCCCGCCTGGCCACACTTAGCCATCGTTGCCAGATATCGCAAAAACCGTTAAGTCAGAGAATTTCAAAAAACTCCTTTTTAGAGTTACAAATCGAAAGACTTTTTTTAATATTTCTGCTTAAACTAGTAATTTCAATTTAAGAATAGGACTTTAAAGCCGCCCGAAACTGTTATTTGCGTTTGACTGAACCTTGGGTCTTAGCTATCCGACCCCGCAACAAATTGGCCTGCATCCGTCCGTACCAAGTTTTGGCTGGCGGTCGCACAACGATCGGTATGGTGAACAGCTCTCCGCGGGCGAAGCGCAATGTGTAAGTGTAGCGCCCTTGCCAGTGAGTGCTCTTTACCACAACCGGTGGACCGGTGTAATTCTTCCATTCCTGCGGGACCATCTTGGACACGCGCTGTGAGAAAATCCCCAGGGCCTGCCCTATGTCTCTCACCCTGTTGGCAAGACAGCTGGAAGAATCTAAGCAGGACTCGTGCACCTCCGAAATTTCACTGAGCGCCTGCTTTTTAAGCTCCACGAATTCGCCCCGTGGCTGAGTTATCTCCAGGATTTTATCGTACGCCACATGAGCCTTGCGACCCATCTGGTGCAGCTCGCGCCAAGTGGAGTACACCTCCTGGCAATGACGATAGCGCATCAGGCACTTTCCCGCCTCCAGTTGAAGAGTCAGGTGATGGGAATGGACGCTCTCGTACTGCTTGCGGTAAGCCCTCAGCTGATTTGAATGCCGGATAGTTTGGCGGTTCATGGCCACTAGACGAGTGGCTCCCAGCTCTGAGCAACGCACCAGGTCAGCCAGCTGACAACGGAGACGACGGGAATTTATCTGAAGGGCTCGGATTGCCGGATCCTTGCTGCCGTGCAAGATAAGCCAGCGTGCATCCTCCGATTCTAGGCCCATCTCTTCCTCTATGCTGCTTGCCAACTTCGCAATCTCCTCTAAGACATCATTGGGAAGTCGGTCTTGTATCCTGTCTAGCGTTGCGTTCATCGCTCTTATTTCCTCAGCCATCTCCTCGAATGGAAGATCCTGATGTTCGCCCTGCTCCTCCTCCGATTCGTCGGGAAGCAGGTCCTCGGGTTCCGAGTTTGAGTCCTTGTTATCGCCAAATCCAAAGCAATTTTCATGCATTACAAGTTTTTCCTGGTGATCCTTTGGGTTGCGAGGCGACTTTCCAGCCTGTCTAAAACCACCGGCAGAGATGCGGGACCGTAAACTGTCCAGCATTCTGTCCATTCCATTTATTTCCACTGCCAACTCCTGGTGTGGGATCTCTTCGTTGACATCGAGCTGGTATTCTTCCGGCGTTGTCTGTGAGTCATCGTCATCACTGAAACCAATGCAATATTTATGACTTGGTCGTCTAGATTCCGGGTTTTCTGGAAATTTCGTCTTCTTCTGCATATTTGCAACATCGAAATCTATATCTTTGGGGTTCAATATTTTTCAGAATAAATAAAATTGTAACTGAATACAGTTTTTCAAAGTCTACTTGAAAATGAAGTGCAAAAATATAATAAAAAAAATCAGAAAACCTAAGTTCTTTTCTCTATTTTAAATTTTTTGCCCTCAAATAGTTATTATCGGTTCTATGGCAGGTGAAAGTATCACCTGTAGCAGATACATTGTGGATTTCTTAGTTTCACAGTATCTGGTCATACTTTTATCGTATTTCGTCCTTTGGTACCTAGTTCGAAATCTTCTGTGGAAGTAACAAGAAGTATTTACGAGAAAACAATTTTTTGTTATTTTAAAAATAGGTATCCTTTGTTAATAGTTATCAACAAGTTATCGGTGTGTGATCCTTAAAAATTTCTAGAAATTAAAGCAAGTAAAGGACCAAACTAGGATTTATTCTTGAGACTTATATTACGTGATTACTACTTTCGCGTGCCAATAAAAAGGTCACAAAAAATGTGCGACATGTATGATCCTAGTAACATCAAACCAGGTAACTTAAAGTAAAAATCATCTCATGCCAGGTCTTGAAAATATCTTTATTCCCTCGACAACAAGATTACTACATCGATCATTACATCGAAGGACCAATTGCCTACACCGAGGACCACGTTCCAGTAAAGAGACTGCGGTTTTTCAAAGTTTGTCCTCAGGTATAATTTTGGTGTCCTCTTTGAACCTTTGTCTTTAGCTCTTCAATTCCTTCAACTTCCTTTTTTTAGATGGCGGAGAACACTTTAAAGGCGTTCTTTGAGAGGTTCGGCAACATTTTGGAGTGGCGTCTAGCCAAGGATCCGAAGAACATGTGTGAACATTGTTTAGGTAGCGGTGTCATATATTCCAGCGTCGAGGAGGCAGAAAAGTAAGTGTGCCTCGCTTCCTCACTGAGATTCCAATTCCTAACTATATTTCCTACTATCTAGATCCTTGCTTAACTATATTGTTAGTTTAGAGGGTAGGGATCTGAAGAATACGTTGCAACATAAATGTCTAAGTGGCGAGGTATTGTATGCCAACGCCGAGGATGCAGCCAGGTTAGTGTGTTTATCATATCTCTTGCTAAGACCCTAACTCCATTTTTAACTTATATATTTATGCGTAGTGTCTTGTTATGCTATCCTCATTGTGAAGAGGGAAAGTATTTCAAGGTAGAACCAAGCTATACCTGGAAGCAGCCGGATGTTTATGGAACACCTACCGCGCAACAATCACAGTCAACGCCCATTTTGAGTCTACCCGATGACTGCTTGGTTCATATTCTGCAGTTCTTGGACCTTGGTGATAAGATACGCTTTGCCAGGACCTGCCAGCGCTTCAGAGCGGCCTACAAGATCGCCGCTACTGGGTCGTGCAAGACCATAGATACTGATCAGTTTGCCCATATGACCCTGTGGGACATTTATGACTTCTTCCACCTGACTGGTGATAAAGTACAGGACATAAGCTGTATATTGAGTTTAAAAACGAGGTTTAACGACGAAGTGCTTGCTATGGTTGCTGGCTACTGCCGAAATCTGGTTTCCCTTTCCTTGCACGCAAAAGCAATAAAAAAGGACATCATGCTTAAAATGCCCACTTCCATCGAGAAGTTGGATTTCACCTATTGCGAAGAGTTTGATGACTTGGCCACAATTTTAAAGCACTTTTCCAAACTGAAGGAGCTTACCTGTGAAGTGACAGATCTCCAAGAAGTCTGGTTAGATGTTGTTAGGGCAAACTGCTGCCCTTCCCTGGAAGTGCTCAATATAACAACCGACTGCGACGCGGACTGCCAGATCTTGGCTCAGCTTCCCAAACTGAAGAGCGTCACAATAAAGTCTATGTTTTACGATAAAGACCCCAGTGAGAAGTTTATCCATCAGCTGGTGGAACACAAGGCAGAGCAACTAGAACGATTTGAAGATAATAGTGACTGTACGCTGCCCAGAAGGCAGCTTTCTCTTATTGCCAAGTTATCAGGACTTCGCGCGCTAATTCTGCCCTTCGTGGTGGGCATGGAAGAAATCGTAACAGAGTTTGAAGATCTCAAAAACTTGGAGGAACTCACCTTTTATTGCAGCAAGATGAGCCATGCCGCCATCCTCGATCTCTTCATCGCATGCCCTAAGTTAAGCCGTTTGACTGCTTATGGCGTGGCCAAGCCAGAACGCGAGCTAATGCTAAATATCGTCACCCGAGTGCGCCTGGAACAGGCCAACAAAGAGATGCACCGGAAACTACCCATTGAACTGGGCCTCAATAGGGATCTCAAAAAAATTGATATTGCCTTTACAGAATCAAATAACAGTTCCCCAAGACATTATTAAAATCATCAGCAACGACGAATTCTATGAGCTTGATGAAGGCTGCTGGAAATCGGAATTGGAATTGAGTTATGCATGATTTAAAACAGAAATTCTAAAATTACAAAATAACGGCATATTTATGCATTTGCATGTTGAAAAAAAAAAAAAAAATTATAATTTAAATTCTTTATATTTTATAATAGCCCGATAAAAAAATAATTATGGCAATATTTGAGCTCAATATTCGAGCAAATAAATTAATTATGAGTAAAAAAAATAATCCCTTTTTTTGTATAATTTATTTTAAAAAAATGTACAAAATAAAGATTATTATTACCTGAATTGATACTGATATTAATTAGCCAAAAGTATAACTATGTCTTTACACATATTTCAAATTTTTCAGTATGACCTAAGACATCCTTGGGAAGTCGGTCTTGTATCCTGTCTAGCGTTGCGTTCATCACTCTTATTTCCTCGGCCATCTCCTCGAATGGAAGATCCTGATGTTCGCCCTGCTCCTTCTCCGATTCGCCGGGAAGCAGGTCCTCGGGTTCCGAGTTTGAGTCCTTGTTATCGCCAAAGCCATTACAATTTTCACGCATTACCAGTTTCTCCTGGTGATCCTTTGGGTTGCGAGGCGACTTTCCAGCCTGCCTAAAACCACCGGCAGAGATGCGGGACTGTAAACTGACCAGCATTCTGTCCATTCCATTTATTTCCACTGCCATCTCCTGGATCTCTTCGTTGACATCGAGCTGGTATTCTTCCGGCGTTGTCTGTGAGTCCTCGTCATCACTGAGTCCAATGCAATATTTATGACTTGGTCGTCTAGATTCCGGGTTTTCTGGAAATTTCGTCTTCTTCTGCATATTTGCAACATCGAAATCTATATCTTTGGGGTTCAATATTTTTCAGAATAAATAAAATTGTAACTGAATACAGTTTTTCAAAGTCTACTTGAAAATTAAGTGTAAAAATATAATAAAAAAAAATAAGAAAACCTAAGTTTTTTTTTTTCTATTTTAAATTTTTTGCTCACAAATAGTTATTATCGGTTTTATGGCAGGTGAAAGTATCACCTGTAGCAGATACATTGTGGATTTCTTAGTTTTACAGTATCTGGTCATACTTTTATCGTATTTCGTCCTTTGGTACCTAGTTCGAAATCTTCTGTGGAAGTAACAAGAAGTATTTACGAGAAAACAATTTTTTGTTATTTTAAAAATAGGTATCCTTTGTTAATAGTTATCAACAAGTTATCGGTGTGTGATCCTTAAAAATTTCTAGAAATTAAAGCAAGTAAAGGACCAAACTAGGATTTATTCTTGAGACTTATATTACGTGATTACTACTTTCGCGTGCCAATAAAAAGGTCACAAAAAATGTGCGACATGTATGATCCTAGTAACATCAGACCAGGTAACTTAAAGTAAAAATCATCTCATGCCAGGTCTTGAAAATATCTTTATTCTCTCAACAACAAGATTACTACATCGATCATTACATCGAAGGACCAATTGCCTACACCGAGGACCACGTTCCAGTAAAGAGATTGCGATTTTTTAAAGTTTGTCCTCAGGTATAATTTTGCTGTCCTCTTTGAACCTTTGTCTTTAGCTCTTCAATTCCTTCAACTTCCTTTTTTTAGATGGCGGCGGAGAACACTTTAAAGGCTTTCTTTGAGAGGTTCGGCAACATTTTGGAGTGGCGTCTAGCCAAGGATCCGAAGAACATGTGTGAACATTGCTTAGGTAGTTTAGAGGGTAGGGATCTGAAGAATACGTTGCAACATGAATGTCTAAGTGGCGAGGTATTGTATGCCAACGCCGAGGATGCTGCCAGGTTAGTGTGCTTATCTTAACCCTTACATAGATCCTAACTCAATTTTTAACTTATTTTTGTGTATGCAGTGTCTTGTTATGCTATCCTCATTGTGAAGAGGGAAAGTATTTCAAGGTAGAACCCAGCTATACCTGGAAGCAGCCGGATGTTTATGGAACACCTACCGCGCAACAATCACAGTCGGCGCCCATTTTGAGTCTACCCGATGACTGCTTGGTTCATATTCTGCAGTTCTTGGACCTTGGTGATAAGATACGATTTGCCAGGACCTGCCAGCGCTTCACAGCGGCCTACAAGATCGCGGTTACTGGGTGGTGCAAGACCATAGATACTGATCAGTTTGGTCATATGACCCTGTGGGACATTTATGACTTCTTCCAACTGACTGGTGATAAAGTACAGGACATAAGCTGTACATTGATTGCAAAAACGATGTTTAACGATGAAGTGCTTGCTATGGTTGTCGGCTACTGCCGAAATCTGGTTTCCCTTTCATTGCACGTAAAAGCAATAACAAAGGACATCATGCTTAAAATGCCCACTTCCATCGTGAAGTTGGATTTCACCTATTGCAAAGAGTTTGATGACTTGGCCACAATTTTAAAGCACTTTTCCAAACTGAAGGAGCTTTCCTGTAAAGTGTCAGATCTCCAAGAAAAAGCCTGGTTAGATATTGTCAGGGAAAACTACTGCCCTTCCCTGGAAGTACTCAATGTAACAACTGGCACGGGCTGCCAGATCTTGGCTCAGCTTCCCAAACTGAAGAGCGTCAGAATAGACCCTCAATTTTACGCTGAAGACCCCAGTCATAAGCTAATCCAACAGCTGGTGGAGCACAAGGCAGAGCAACTAGAACGATTTGAAGATACAGGAGACTGTAAGATGCCCAGAAGGAAGCTTTCTCTAATTGCCAAGTTATCAGAACTTCGCACGCTAATTCTGCCCTTCCAGGAGGGCATGACAAAAGACATCGTAAAAGAGTTTGAAGATCTCAAAAACTTGGAGGAACTCACCTTTTATTGCAGCAAGATGAGCCATGCCGACATCCTCGCTCTCTTGATCGCATGCCCTAAGTTAAGCCGTTTGACTGCTTATGGCTTGGTCAAGCCAGAACGAGAGCTAATTTTGAAAATCGTCGCCCGAGTGCGCCTGGAGCAGGCCAACAAAGAGATGCACCGGAAACTACCCATTGAACTGGGCCTCAATAGGGATCTCAAAAAAATTGAGGGATTGATTGTTAAGGTATGTCCTAAAAATTTATTTGTCCTATATAAAATTATTCTATATTAATTTTTTATTGCCTTTACAGAATCAAGTTACTGTGCCCGAGGAAACTATTAAAATAATCAGCAACGACGAATTTTATGATCTTGACAACGATTCGAGCACGCAAAAACTCCTTTTATTTTTTAATGGCCGGATAAAAATGAATTATGCCAATATTTTAGCTCAATATTCAAGAAAATAAATGAATTATGAGTACAAAAAATAGTCCCTTTTTTGTATAATTTATTTTAAAAAAATTTACAAAATAAAGATTATTATTAACTTTAACTTTTAGTTCCTGAATTGATACTGATATTAATTAGACAAAAATTATAACAATGTTATTACACAAATTTCAAATTTTTCAGTATGCCCGTGCCATTTGAAGTGGCCAGGGTGGGTTTTGCCCTAACCGGCAACTGGCCACACTGATAACGACAAAAAGTGAAAAACAAAGACTTTTTATTATTTACCTGCGGACGCAAACAATTGTGCTGTGCGAACAAATTGACAACTAAACCGATAGTGCAACCCGTTTCCCAGCGTGGAAAACCAAACGGAAAAAAAAGAGAAAACTCGATTGTGAAAGCGGAGATTTGTCAACGCAAACGCGGAAGAAGAACTCGGGGCGAGAGCGTAACATTCATTAATAATACTAGGCAGCAGCTGCTGCTGAGAAGCAACAAAAACATTGCGGAAGCAGAATCCGCCTTATCGTGTCGCTTGTTTTTCGTCGCAGAGCTAAAAATAGACCCTCCCACACTCCGCCCCCGCTCCCACAGTTAACCACCACCCGACCCCACTCCACCCACGCCCACACACACAGGCGCACGAATTTGGCAACAGCCGTGGCGAGGTGAACTTGTGTTGACTTTTCCAGCGCGCGCGGACTTCTCCGGAGGAAAATGCAGAAATGAGAAATCACGGAATCGTCACACACATCTGGGAATTTGCGTAAGTGTTTAGCACTGGACCCGCAATTGCAGGGTGTCCAAACGTCGAGCTATGAATGTTTTGCGTGTCTTTTGCCTTCCGCCTGCGGATGAGCGCCGGGTGAGCTTTCATTTGCTAATTTTAGTACGGCACTGCTGAAAATAAGAATTGGAGCACCCTGCCATCGGTTGCCGGTAGGCAAATAGTATAGAGTCGCTCACCGTGGCCAGTATATGGCAGATATCTCGACAGGGCAGCGCCAGCTGAGGAGGATCCTATTGCGAATGCGAGACTGTTGCACGCGCCCCCGCCTCTCAATCCAATCGATTGATGCTGTAAACACGGCCACTTTGGGGCTCTCTTGCCTAAATCAATAAATGCTTCAAAGCCCTGCCATATTGCGTCCGTCCATTGTAATTGGTCCATTGTAGGGACAACACACACACATTCACGGTCTGCCTCAAAGGCATTTGCACTCCGCTGCAGCTGGGTTGTCGTCCGCCCTGCGACAGCAATAAATATTGGAATTCAATTACTCCGGCAGTCTGCTGGCTCCATAAAATTATTATGCACGATGGCCGGATTTCGGGACCGCCGATCCGGGCCCTTGTGAAAGCTCTCTAGGTTCTCGGTGGCTTAAAGTAAATAAATAAACACCGCCTGACCACAGTTTTACACACAGCAGCTTATTGATTTTAAGCTTTTCTCCTCTTTTTAATTGAGATTTCAGTGTTTTTCATTTGGTCAACGATTTTATACTTTTCCCACATGTCCTTAAACTTTCCTTGGCCCCCTTGCTTTACCTATTCGGACAGCTAGTCATTAGCCAAATATTGAAAAACAAGTCCTTACACTTACTCCGATGTCAGATGAAATTACTTAAAGTTCAATTTAATAATTTAAATTGAAATCTTTTCCAGTTAGTCAAAGAAGTTTGGGGTCTCGAGAAATGTGAGAATGAAATAACACGGGAACAAAACAAGTTCATGATAATTAGCATTTAATTAACCCCAGATGAATTGACTTATGGGTAGCACATTGACGTTGTTTCTAAATTGATGTATGAATTTCAAAACAATATTCTAACATCTAAGAATTCCCATTTTGACACATCATAATCTCTTCTCAATAACTTTGTATCTCAGTAACACCAGACAAAGGTGTCAGTTTAAAACAGAGTTTAAATTAAAATAAATTGTGCTAAGTACGTGAATTTAAATTGTAAACAAGTTAATGTCTTGGCCAAATCCCGAAACTTGGATTTTATGAGAAAACAGGCAAATGAGAATTGTTTCTTTGTAAATACATATGTACATATTAAGATAAAAGTAATTAGCCGGTTGCCTGAAATTAGTTCTTATCACTTGCTGGTGCTCGTCGCTGGTTCTCCCTTTTGCCCCACACTCACACCCTGATTTACTTATTTGTCTTGGCCGCCTGTCCGCAACTTTCTCAGTTGCAATTACACTTGTCGCGCTTTTGTCGTTTGCTTTATCACGCCCTGCTTTGTGGCTCGTTCGCATTCTGATTGTGGAGCTCACCGCAAAATGAGTCACTGCCCCAAGGTTATTCAACGTAACCCGGCGCTCGGGACCTTGTTTTGCTCTCCCCATATATTTATATCTTCAGTTTCTCGCGACTTGTTTCGCCCGCTAAAGGCCAATGGCCAATGGCCGATCGTTGTTGGTTCACCCGATAGCCGATATCAAGATACCCAGTCGGCCGGCTGGCTCTTCTTCATCATGTTTGCGCGGAGAGATAAAGGTGTAGGCTTGGGGCTTCTAGAGTTACGATTGAGCATTTGTGGGCTTTCCTTGGGGTCAGCCAGAGAGTGTTTCCCCTTCCGTTTTAGGGGAAGTTAATGGTTTTTTAATAACAAATAGAATTCTCAATATAATGCTTATGACAACTTTGGGGTGACAATCAATTTTAGGTGCAGAAGCACTCAATGTTTGTTATCTTTAAGTATGGTTAGTTGATATGCGATATGCGGCTTTGCTCTGGCTATGTGCAATTTACTTATTGTCTTTTAAGTTTGTGCCATTTACAATTAAAGCAAACACAATCCCTATAAGTTCCGCTTAGTAGCAAGCGATATGCTTTAATTTGTATTTTATTAGACGAGGAATCAGCATGTCTTATGAAGCTAGTAAGCAAGTTTTTAAAAGGAAATGAAATGAATTATGAGTCTTCAAATATTTTTAGGGGAATCCCCTTACTTGATTCACTAGCTACAAAGGCAAAGTGACTTCATTTTCATTCTTAACTATAGTTAAGATACTTGTATACATACATATATGTAAACACAAATGTACATATGTAGAATAAAATGCTTAAGCTAGAAAGAAAGTAATAACAGGTGCTGCTGCTGGTTCCGATATGTCTTTTGTTGCCAACTGTTTTCTATTTTGCCGCTAAGTGGGGGGTCAGTCAGTTGCTGGTTCTGTTCTGGCTTGAAAAACAAAAACAGAAACTGATAATGAAACAAACTAGGGACTTTGGGAATGCCACTATCGATGACGATGTGGCCACAATAAAACCGCAAAGCTCTCCCATTGTTTGCTATTATCAGCCAGTTATTGTTACTTCACTCGACTAGCGGGAATGGGTATTTATTATTTATTTGGTGCATGTTTCGATGGCGTGCGTCATGCGGGGAAGGGATGTTGGTGATTCATGCCAGCAAATGCAGCGGGGAGGAATCTTTGCCTCATCCATTGACATCCTCTTGGCTGTAGAAAATCAATAGCTATAGAGAAGCACACTCAAGGCTTCTCGACGAGATGTTTGCCGTAGTGTAACCTTGGCCCGTCTTTGCGTGGTTTTGTTTTTCAGGAGCCGGAGGCGCCTTGAATGAGAGCCCAAAGCCCGTCGCCGACATGTCAGATTTCGTGCCGCGCGACCTTCTCCCCGATCTGTGGGAGGAGATACTGCGACGTCACTGGTCTTTTCTCGAAACCGAGGAGAACATCCAGAAGCTGGAGGAGCGCAAAAAGCTCGAGGGTAAGTGCATGCCCAGGCCTTTGCCTTGAATTTATTAATTGACTTTGAAAACTTTCGAAAAAACCCAAGGCTGCCTGAAGGAGTTCCTCTGCGTGGTGCGTCACGATCGCAAGTTCTTCCTGCCGGAGACTGGGCGCGTCCTGCGTAGATCGGTGCGGGATCTTAGCGACTTCACGGCCCAAAATGCCATTGTGGCCTTCGAGACCATCAGCCAGTATGCCAACAATCTGTTTACAAAGCCCTGGCGAAAGGAATATCGTACGCTTAAGGTATGCTCCTTGCTTGCTTTGCCAATATTAAATCCATTGACTCTTTATTTTCTCTCTTCCGCCCTCAGACCTATTCAGGATGCTTCCAACACGACATACAATCTCGGCTTGTAGACGCCGAGCAGCTGTTTTTGGCCATGGGCTACCGACGCGTCTCGGACGATACGTTCGTGCTCGAGGGCCCCATTTGCCCGGATCAGGTGACGAACGTATCACGCGATGCCATGGCCGCCTACGTCGAGTGCCAGATCATGAAGCACATCTATGCGGGCGTCACAGCAGCGGGCTATAGCTGCAGCTGGAAGGAGATACTGCAGCATCGGGAGACCCATGTGGGCGGCACCACGCAAACCATCAAGGAGATGATTTACCGGCTCAGCGAGAAGCGGATGCGTAAGGAGCAGCCGGTGCAGGAGAACACCTACAGCAATGTGGCGACTTTGGCCTCAGCGGCTTGTGCTTTGCACGGCAACAGCACTCAGGCGCACCCCGGCAACAGCTGCGCCCTGCATCCGAATGGGATAAGCATAGTGGGCAACGAGGCGGGCAAGTATCTTCCGCCATACCCGGCGCCACCGTCGCAGCAGCCGCCGCATTTGCCTGCTGGCCCGTTGATGACGCACTCTCGCAGCCTGGAGCACTACCAGGAGCCGCACGCGCATCTGTCGCATCGCCACTCCTTTGACCAGCAGCTGCAGCAGCCGCAGTGCCAGCTGCCCCATGTCTACGAGGCGCCTTACGACTGCCTGGATGGACTGAGCATGGGCAGCAGTGCTTCCTATGCGGCCGTGACTGGGGCCTACAATGCTCCCGGTAATCGCTATCCGCTGCCCTACAACATCTCCAGCCAACTGAACGCTCCGTATGCATCGCCCGCCGACGTTTACGCCAGTGGGGAGCATCCCAACATGTATGCTACTCTCGGGAAGCCTGGCCCCACGGGACACAGTTGCGACTTTCATCATCGCCATCAGCCAGCCGCCGCCGCAGCTTTGGCTGCCATGCAGCATCGTCAGAG